TTACGGGATTCACGACACGATAAGAGTAGTACAAAATTTCCGCCAATTTGCGTATTTTTTGAAGATTAAAAAGACGATCGACATGAAAACTCGGAAAGCTCTAAAGCAACACTAGATCTGAGAAATCAGTCCAACACAGTAAGCGAGAAGCAACATGAGTCGGGTGCTGAAAGACAGAGGTGTGGTGAATGTTACAGGAGCTTTCCAATCGTTCCAACTAGTGTAGAAGAGATGAAGCTTCAAAAAGTAAGAACATTTATTAATCGTGAGAAACTTATCAACAATGTTTTTCATTAAATACAAATCAATAGACAATCACAGGATTGAGTAACCCTGTTTGGCTCAAGTAGGCTCAGGGAAAAGATCATAAAAGTCAAGCCACATTAATATTATAAGAAAAGCTCAAAAGTCATGCATGCTACCGCTGGTGATTGCGATTTTTGTACAAATAAGGTCTTCTAACATAGATTAAGTTCATATCGATCGAGATTTCTTCAAAACATAGTCAAGTATTTGGAGAGAACGATGAAGTTGAACTTCGATCCAACATGGCGTATCCTAAAAGACATATCAGACCTCTAATCAAACTACAAGATACCTTTATGGTTGCTTTGTTGTATCCTACGCCCCAACCTTTCACGAAAGAGAACTCGAAAGTACAGAATGAACGACGCATTCCATCAACACTGGAATGAACCATCGCACTGGGGAAGTCTCCTTCGACCTATGAATCAAATAAGAATCTTCTTTCAAGAGGATATATCCTTACTTTCTGATTAGTAACCACTCCTGCTACAGCGGCGGCTTGCGCGCGCAAGACACGCTCAGCATTGTGAATGCGGGAAATCATCTCCTTGTAGGCCCATTTCAAATCAAATACCTTGAAAGGGTTGGACCAGTAATGTTTTGCTGATACTTACCATGGTAGGTTTATCCTCATGTGTAAATCGATGAGCTTTGGAGTCATAAGGAACTTTGGAACAATAATCCAAGTACCCGCTCCTGAGGAAGACGGGCTTAGTAGAATGGAACTCCATGAAGATCTGTCCCTCTGAGTTGGTGCGAAGCTTAACACCAGCTCTAATATTCATCCTGAGAATTATGTTGTATGCTCATCTATGAAATCTTGTAATACCTAACGTTGTCACTTTTTTCCGTTCGATGTACATTTGGCCACGCTCCGACACAGAATCTACTGTTTATTTCGGTATGGGGATCCATCCCTCCGTCTATAGTGTATTCCTGTTTCTCTGTCCTCACCTAGATACAGCTTTTTGAACATAGCCATGTTGCTGTTTACTTACTTTTACACTTTCTCCAACTTGGGTGTCCAATTCATAATATTTGATTGTGCACCAATGTTCGAGAGCTGAAGTTGTTAAATGTCAGTTTAAAACTGTTGATCGAATCCTTACGTGCAGAAGTAATCGCTGCTGGGATGGTCCTATCGTCTTGTAGCATTTCGTCGTTATGGGCTGTATCGTACGGGAATTTGTTGAAATCAGGTCTGTTATCTGCCATCATAACATCCATACAATCTATAATGTAGTAAATGAAGTCAGAGGGTTCAAAGTCAGTCAAAGATCTTCATACCTGGCAGTACTGCTTGGGAAGACGAACACGAAGAATCCCAATTGAGCGGATAACCTGAAAATATTTCACGCATGGCAGGTTTTTAGTATGATATATTACCACTTTCAGATGGACGGCTGTCTTGCATGCCTGAGTAGTCTTCTTCGTTTTCAGCTTCCATTTCTACTGAAGCCTGTGCCGACTGATAATGTTGCGGGACATCCTGGATGATAGGGTGTTGTGCAGGGGGAGGATTGAGTGTTTTCGGGTTCGGATAGCCACCTATTCAGGTAAGTTCAATTAGAAACTGGTATGTTGATACATACCTGTATTTTTAGAATAATAACTGTTCGTTGATTGCATACCTCCCATGGGAGATATTGAGTTTGAAACAACCTGCTCGTAGTGATAAGGGTTTATACAGATACAATCTTGATGTTCTTGAGTAGTTGTGCAAATGCTTAACTTCTGGAAGATAGGTATTGCAATAAATTGTAGTGGGTATCATCTGGTAGTAACTTACTACTAACTCATTCTTGCTGACGTTCGGCCATCTCCATATTCGGGCATAAACTACATGAGGTACTCCTTTTCTGCCGGCAACCTGCAGTCTTCCATCAAGACTCCGCTGGAATAGTATAGTGTGACAATTAGTTCATTCATCTTCTTTATTACCTGGATAGTGACACAACCTGTGGCCTGCTTTCCATTAGAGGTTATAGCTGTTATTAATGAATCTAATTCTGTTCTTTTATCTTTCAGCTTCTTCACCAAACTTTCGATAGCCTTCCGAACGTAGTCGGCATCTTCGCCACCCTGTAAAACGGAAACAAGAGTAAGTGGAAACATTACTGTAAATCAAAGTTGTTGGATATAGGGTATCTTACTCATCTTTGTGATGAGCAATATAAGCATTTCTAGTTTCAAACATTGCATCTCAAGAAACATGGTTGTCCAAATTGCAAAAATAAACACAACCTGCTGATAACATTGGAGAACATGACTGATCCTTTGTGAAGAGTCTCCAGCTGTAGCAGCATCATGTGGGAGAGTGTAATGAGGTTCGACGGCTGTAGCAGGAGAACGCTGAAGCTGGGGTAATGTTTCGGAACAAAAATAAATATATTACTATTTCGTAAGAATGAAATGCATTCGGTCCGTTCATACTTGTAGACAAAGACTGTTCTGTCGGATAAACTTGTTGCTGCCGTTGTGGCTGCTGAGTTTGCTGTTGGAGCTGATCATTTGCGATATGGTGTGGTTGTAGAGTTGGATGTGCCGGATGTGGAAGCAGACTATTAACTTGGTAAGGATGCGTAGAAAAGTTTATCATCGGACTAGGAAAAAAAAGGGAGTTTGTGCCCGTGTGCTGCAATAATATATTATTTTATAGATGAGAAGTATTTTTACTTGAACATAGGAATGAGTGGATGGAATCATTGACCCTGAAGGCACATCAAAGAAATTTTCTTTACCTATGGCCCCAGAGCCTTGCGGTAACATCATGATGTAGCTGAAACGTAGTTAATTAGTGAGAGTAGAAAAGAATGTTTTTTTTTCAGAAAATCAAGCAGTTAACATGAGAATAGTTAATCAAATAAGTTGGCGGAAGCAAGAGAAGAAGAGTGACAAGCATTAGAAAAATAATTTGCATGATAACGGTTAGTATTTAGTTTTATGAGACGGAAATGGCGAGTGTAAACATTCTTCACAAGGCTTAAGCAAATGCTATCAACTCCTCGGGTGATTTTTTTTAGTCACATAACTCCTTAGAAACAAATTTTTGAAAAAAAATACGAGTTGAAGACGAAAAAGATAAGAACAGAAGTGATTCGCGAAGCTTCACGTTATGCGATGATAGCTGCGGATATATAGGTGAAAGAGAAAGAGAGTGAGAGTCGGAGAAAAAAGAGAGATGAAGAAATAGATGAGTCGCGCAACGAGTGCGGAAGAAAAGCACAACCGTTCTCCACTTCAGCTTTGCATAGACTGACTAACAGCGCCACGTGGAAAATCACGTGAAAACCACGTGAGTGATTATGAAAATCAGAAATAATGCGGAAGAGGTTGGCGAATGAACGGCAATTATGTATCGAATCAGTCAGCCAATCAATAATATTTCGAGAAGTTTTATTGAGCGAAACGATATGATTAGGAAGAAGACAGGTAGTGCTAGCATAGCATGCGACTTCAGGGGTAGAACGACGTTGGTTTGTGTGATTTTTTTCACTTTTGTGTTCATAAGCTCACTTCTGCCTATATTTCAGACGAAAATGAAATTTTTGGGTTGTTGACTGTAAATCGTTTCTTCGTGACAAATGAAAAGACACGGCGTAAAGTTACGAGAAGGCAAGTATGTCTTGATATGGATCAGATGGTTGATTGATTAACTTAATCAAGCCATTGAGATGTCAGATATTTCCTTTTATGAGAGTATTTTTAGGACTGTCCGCTGTCATGAAAGATAAAGCACTTTATGAATGTTTGTGTGGGCGATAGAATATAAAGTTGATTCAAAAGCTTTTTCAACTATGCGAAACGTAAGTGTGTATGGAATTAGTTGACGAGACACTGATTGCCGTGTAGTGATGACATCATTGCGAAACGTATTGGCTGTTAAAGATAGATGAGCTGCCCTATTTCATGAGCTAATTGCTTAATGTAAGTCAGTAGAATCATGAGAGCATTAATGATATTCTAGTGAATGTGATGTGAACTCCAACAAGCGTGCTAGGAGAAATGACAGCAGCGGAAAGTGAAACATAGCTGATAGGAGAACAGTTTAGGTGACATCACAAGAGCGAGAGAGAGAGAAAGAGGGGGAAATTATGCTGCGTAATAGAGTCCAGAGAATCAGTGTTTCTTCAAAACTGTCTCTCTTTCTCTCATTCTTTTTAATGTCCTGTTTTGGCTCTCTTGTAATCAACGATCAGCAGCTTATGATTAAGGAAAAAATTGGAAAGAAGGGTCAACTCAACAAGCTATGAAGGAATAAGAAAAAAGAAAGAAAAAAGCTAAATTGATTTAGTGAAGAAAGCTAAGCAATCATCTGGATGAATTTCGCAATAGCCAATTAGAGCGGACAAGCGTTAAAGAAACTCTGGTTTACAATCATTTATGACACGAAGCCCTATACATAGCTTATATACATATATAGTTTTGCAGACTTGCGTATGGAGAGAGGGAGAAAGCAACAGAACTCTGAAAGATGGACAAGATGATCTCCTCTTTGGAACAGTTCGTCTGGCTCCTTTCATGTTTGTTTTGATTTGTGATTGCTAAGTATAACAGCTGTGATACTAGTTGCGGGGTAAAAGGAATGCAAAAGAATTTGGTGAACGCAAATGGATTAAGAAAACGTTGGTACGATAGTCGGCGTACGCAACCGTTCAATGCGTTTGTCATAACGACAATGCAGACGTTTGGCAATAAGGAAAGGTGAGGATCAATCTTTTGTACTTCTTATCCTTGTATCCTGCTTCAGATTAATCCGGATGTATGTTAGGTTGTTAAGAGGATTAGTTCATTAAGTGACATTGCATAATTGGCATGTCATGAATAAGACACAACACAAGGACGTTAATTGACAAAGGTTAGTTTTGTGATTTGAGTCAACAATAACGATTTAAATATAGACAAGTAAGTACACGTTAGCAAAATAGGAATGTCGAACGGAATGAGAAGTTGAAAGTTGAACAATCACAACTGAAATCAGAAAGAAAGGAGGAGAGGAGACGGTTGTGTTGTACGTCGCAGTGTTGTTTATTCAAGGAATCCCTCTTCATCAACGATATATTACTTTAAGAATTAGATGATAGACGTTGACAAAGACAAATGGTGATCATGACAAATTCAAAGGAAGGGGGAGGAGGAGGAGGAAAACATGTGGTCTATCGTACTGCACAGGTTATGGTCGGCAGTGATTGAGGTAATGAATTCACGAGGATGTATGAAAACGGCGCCACCATGTCGCATTCCAGCTTGCACAAAGACCCTCACAAAATGGAATAACGACCATTTTTTCCAAGGGCGATTAGCGTTAAAATCGCTCAAGAGGTTCCCAATGAAAGAAAGTGACCGTATGGAATGCACGATAAAAGATTTGTATGACCCGGAAATTGGAAGATCCTTTGATGTGGTGCTGGACAGCATCAAAATTTGAAATCTGCCCGAGGCCGTTATGAGAGATGAAAGAGCAGGTACATCAAACAGTTGATAAAACTTTTATTTTCTTTTTTTTAGAAATTAGAATAGCAGGTGGTGAGCACCGTTAAAACAATAATTTGTGTTGTTCTGTTTCACTCAACACAATCCCGTACAGAATGAGCGTTGGACTGCATATAATATCGAAAATGAAGGTATGTATAAATATATATAGCCGCTGGTAGAGAGCTAGATGATGGTTATTGGAAAATATAAGTAATAGAAACGTGGAAATGAACATCTAGTATAGCTGGATATGCAAAATAGACTATTACAGACTATATATGCAAATATTATTAAAAAGATTATTAATTGTAACTACCAGCATGGACTAGATTCTGATATCTGCTACTACAAGGAGGATATGGATAGGTAAGCAATTGGGAAACTAAGAAGAGCATCAATTTCACTCAATGGATGCATTTATCACAAGAATTCATGGTCTTATCAAACTCTTCAACTTGCACAGTCGATAATGAGATACCATGCTTACGTCTGACTAGATCCCGGGCTCCGTTTACAATCGATAAAGCATTTTCACTATTCTCTAAAACAGGTCTAAGATGATTGGAACCATAACATGTTTCTTACCTATAGCCAAATGTACAGACAGTGCTGTCTTGTCCATGTTCAAAGACCACAAACGTAAATCGTGGACAGAAAGTACACCGTCGATACTGCTAAGGTCTTGCTTTATCACGTTGTAGTCCATGTGACGAGGACTTGCTGCAATTGGCGTGTTAAAAAACAATTCAAAAATAGAATCATTTACCTTCCATCAACACGTAGAAGATGTCACGAATGACGTGTATTGTTGTAAACAAGACGATGATGGAGAAGAAGAATGTGCATATTGGATCAGCTATTTGGAAACCGGTGAACTATAAGAAACCTATGTTTCTTGAAATCTTGAATCTTGCGTACCTTTATGATAATGGCTGAAATGAGAACACCAATAGACTGGATCAGGTCACCAAGGACATGAATCAAAGCAGCACGTACATTTACATTACCACCATTGCCGTGAGAATGACTGAACAGTAAAAATCAAAAAATCAAAGTTAGACTTTGCATCATACCCATGACTTCCTCCTCCGTGACTATGTGCATGTCCTGCTTTACCAACATAAAGTACAATGGCCATAATTATATTGAAAGCGACACCAGCAGAAGCCGTAATCAGCATGATCATTGGATCCACGTCTGTGAGAGTTCGTTAATTGATCTGTTTCATTAAAAGATCAGTACCATACGTGCCATTGCAAATTCTTTGGATAGCAAGGAGTACAAGTACAGCAGTCAGCACCCAAAGTATAATTATAGAGATCAAAGCACCCAAAACCTCAGCACGGTCGTAACCGAAAGATAACTTCTTATTAGCTGCAAAAGTAAAAAAGTAAAATTGATCTAGATGATCATGACTACCTGGATGTCTAGCTGTTCGTATGGCAACAATCGAGATAATGAAAGAAAGTAAATCAGATAACATATGACCAGCGTCAGTCATAATAGCCAATGAAGCTGCGAAAAATCCTCCTGTAAATCGAGATACATGAGAGGTTGAGATTAAGATGGATTTACCTGTGAATTCGGCAGCGATGAAAATCGCGGACAACAGCGCGACAAGCCATAAAACTTTTTCGGATCGTCTACTCTGCAAATAGGAATGAATTAAAATAGCTGATCAACAATCACTAAGGTTAACTTCAATTAAGAAGACAGGGTCAATTTAGAATGAAAAAGCTTGTGGATTACCTGTTCTGACACTTTGCTCTCAAAATGATAATGTGAGATATCATGGTCGGTCAAGTTAGCAAAATTATCATCATCATCATGAGTATGAGCATGATTATCATGTCCGTGTCCATGTCCATGATCATGATCATGGTCATGGTGGTGTTCATGATCATGTCCATGGTGATGTTCATGTTCATGATCATGCCCATGGTGATGATGATGATGATGAGGCAAAGTTAAGCCATCATGTTTTTCATTTGAAATTGAATAGTTATGATTATCATCATGATGACCAGAAGGAATATCCATATCCACAGCAACACTGGCAGATGACATTATTCTATGAGGAAAAAAGACTTAGTTAAACAACAAGAGATAATGACGGCCAAATATAAGTGAACGAGAAAGGAGAAACGCGCGGGGAAAAGAGAATAAACATCCATATGGGCAGAATGGTCGAACAGACAATGAAGAGATAAGTAGCTGATGTAAATGATGTGCAAGCTCTGACAAGTGCTTTTAAGAGAAATGAATCATAATATATCACATGAGAAAACTCATCAAAATGATGTGAGATGATGATAGCCGGAAGATGGTTAGGGTGCATACACGGCATGGAGCGACTGATAACTATTTTGAGCTCGAAAAAGATAAGATTTCACGTCTTTGACTCAGAGTTGATTAGAAATCGAGAAGCCACACGTAGCTAAAACTATGAACGATCGGAGGTCAATTGATAGATGGCTAACACGACAATTGATGTATGAATAGAGAAACAGTGCGAACGTCATTCCCTCTGGTACACCTACGTGCACTCTGTAATTGAATGAAAAAAAGGATGTCGTTTAGAAAGTGACAAAGAAGTTCAATAAATAAGCTTCTTAGAAGAAACTGGTCGACTTTACCAGTTTAGAGTTCTTTCTTCGCACTGTTATTGAATAAGGTTATGAGCGCTTCAAAACTAGAGAAAGACTGTAGGAGAAAGAGAGAATGAGAGTAGAGATGTAATAGAAATGAACTAATGATACTTTCGAATGAAAAACTTGGTACAACTGAAAAAAAGAGTTTAAGCATTATTCTCAAATTATTATCAGGTCTAGTTTGACGGAAAGAAAGAGATCTTTAGGTCTGGTTGAACAGGACAATAAGCCGCTGGAGATTATATCTTAAACTTGCGAAGAAAGTTTAGATTCCCCAATGAATCAGAAGCTTTTGAGTTTGACAAGCCAGTCTCTCTCATTTCAAAATGCCTTTGAATGAGGTAGTTATAGTCAATTACCGAAGAGAAGTTTGCAAGTGTTTGATACTTGGATAACAACGATAGGATGTTCAGGCGAAGAATCAAAAGCAAAGAATATTCAGCTCTTTCTCTCTTTAACAAAAAAATGATTATTTATCACACCAGAGCTTGCTTTTAAGGAGAATCTTTTCAGATAACAGACTTATCGCCCCTAGCAGAAACTACAAGGCAGAAGGTTTACATGACATAATCTTAGAATCTACGAAATGGAAAGTAAAAAGTATTATTTTTATTTCATAAACGAGTTTTTAATTTCAGAGCGGAAGAAGGACTAGTACCCTAATTAAGAAAATGTTTATCAGGACTACACCTAGCCTATCCGACCGCTAACTGAATGCAACCGTTCTGTGCGAATGAAAATAAATAACAGAGCGCATCACGTCGGTGGTGTTGTTAGGCCATGTACCTTTCAAAAAAAATTAATTAGAAGGGTGACTTCCGTGCTATGAGAAACTGGTTCAAAAAAGTGAAGTTGTTAGCCGTAAGTTTAATCTTCTGAAGAGAAAGCACTCATGCCTCTTCTGTACAGAACCTAACCAACCAACCACAAGTTCAGAAGAATCACAATAGAGTGGAAGAATGCTTATGGTCGGTATCAGCATCAGGTTGTCTCTCGTATTCTCTGTTACGAGTTTCAAAAACATCCAGAGAACAGAAAAAGAGAGAAAGAGCGCGCACAGACATGATCTCGCAAAAAAAAAGAAAACTTTAAAAATTACATTATTTAGCGTGAAGCCCGCCTTCCGTATGATTTTTGTACTTTAAGGATAACAAAGAAAGAATAAAAGGTAGCCGGTTCTAAATAACTTCGTCTTCTAATTCAACCGCTCAACCGATCATATTTGGTCAGTGGTGAAGAATGCGTATCATTAAGGTATTCAAGTGACAAATGTCACGGGAAAATCTACAGCATTTGAATAGTCTTCAAAGAAATTCCACAACAGGTGTGATACGACGAAGTGTGCCGAACAAGTTTTCGGACATTGGTCTATCGCATAGGGTGTTTAGAGTTGCAACTCTTCACAAGCTTTTTCATTACAAAAAAAAAACGTTTTGATAGAAATTCGTAGGCAAGAGAAAGTTAAGCGAACTCACGTTGTAGTCGAAAGATTCATCAAAATCATCGTGACAGTGACCAAAAGTACGTTCCAATTCTTCTTGCAACTGATCATTGTCAACCAATGTGCTGATGTCGTTGTCATCTACTTCGTAAGCATCATTCATGGCAATATTCTGCAACAAAAACTAAATTAAAAATACATTCCAAGAGCCTGGAAAAAAAAACAGATTATGAGAAGGCTACTCAATTCCTTTGGACAGTGTGATAAAAAAAAGTTTTGGTCTCATTTGGTTTATAGAGGGTACAACGATCGATAAGAAACGATAGCACTCTTCATCTATTCATAAAGAGAAGAGAACGATATGTGCGACAGGTTAACAGGAAGTCAAGAAATTGAAACGATCGATAATCATTGGGACTTCATAGTCAACCGAGGAGTTTGCAAGTAAAAATCAAATTATTGAAAACTTTATTCGATATGACGATAGAAATCTGCACATCACCTAACCTTATAAGGAAACGTAAACAATCTAAAAATGCTTATTAAAGGACTAGTCCACCGGAATACAAGCACATATGGAATATCAGACTGTGGGAATCTATTGAGACAAGCACTTTTCCGTTGGATAGTGTTCCTTATATTCTTCAAGATGTTGATCCAGTTCACTTCTTTGACGTTTCAACTTCTCAGGAATATCTCTAAAATAGAGGGGGAAGTAGGCTGAGATCTTTGACAAGAAAGAACATACTGATAAACGGCTTCGAACATATCGTGATAATGGGCAAGCTTTGTCTTTTCGGCATCGTTAAAGGCAGACAGGATTCTCTTTCTCGACTGTAAGAGAAAAATTATTAATTATCGGAGACAGACGGTGTCAAGCAATATTACGTCTTTTTGCCACTCCTTCTCCATTTCATCATTCCACCATCCACGTTCTGTAATGTATCGTTTGAAACGGGTGATAGGATGGTCTTTATCTCCCCATTCTTGCACTTCTTCTGCCGTTCTAAACATGCTCACATTATATAAACTTCGAGTTGCAAGTTCACCTGTAAGCAGTGGAGTCGTCACTAGTAGAATGATGACCCAATCGGTATGTCATAGCTTCAATTAATACTGGCTTATTCTGGAGAGCCAACTTTCTGGCCTCAGCTACAGCATTGTATACAGCTAAGACATCATTACCATCAACTCTAGATAAGGAACATACTTCAATTTTTCGACTGAGGAATTTCAAACCTGATAGTGTGAAGTCCATATCCAGGTCCTTTGCCAGCAATTCCATCTCCAGCATATTGCTCACTGGTAGGGGTAGAAATAGCATAGCCGTTATTACGACAGAAGAAGATGATAGGACAGTCCTAGCAGAATAAGTACATTCATCAATATGACTAAACTTTCTTACAAGAGTTCCTGCAAAGTTGAATGCAGCATGTGCATCTCCTTCAGAGGCAGCACCGTCACCAAAGTACACGCATACAACTCTGTCATTGTTTGGTTGACGCTTGAAAGCATATGCACTTCCGACAGCCTGTGGTAACTGAGTAGTCAGAGGACTAGAGATAGTCACGAAATTGTGTTCACTGGAGCCATAATGAACGGGCATTTGTCTTCCCTTTCCTAAAACGTATAAATAGCAACCGATGAAAGAAATCACCATACCTATATCTTTGCTATTTCCATAACATTGGTGCATAAACTGTTCTAAAGGAAATCCTCTCCACATGAGGACACCTGCCTCTCTGTATTGTCCGTATACGAGATCACTGTCTTTAAGAGCAGCGGCTGAACCTACATGGTTTCCCTGCACAATAAATACTTGAAAAATAGTTGATAACTAGTATATCATACCTCTTCTCCATAGTTGGTCATATAGAATGAGATTCTTCCCTGTCTCTGAGAGTCATACAAAATTCGATCCATAATATTAAGTAGAGTCATGGCACGGTAAATTTTCAGAGATTTCTCCTACAACTTCAGAAGTTTATTCATCGAAACACAACATGAACAAACTTGATCGAACTTGGGATCATGGCTTTCATTGAGAACTTTGCCTTCAGCGTCTGTTACTCTATAAATTGGGAAAACTGGGAAACTAGTTGAGTCAACTATCTTGAGTTCCTCAGTGAAAGCAGCCTGGAATTCGAAGCGTTCTCAGATCTCAGAAAACGTTAAACCTTTCTATAACCCAAGTACTTTGTGCTGTACTCAGACAATCGGAATTCATCCGATGCCTGAGCTAATCCTCTTCTGGAAATGCGGGTTGATAACCGTCCTACAGGAGCAACTAACCGAGACAACATTGCCTTAAATGGAAAGGTGAGATCACAGTTCATGAATCAAGATAGGTATAGGTATGGTTATAAAACCTTGAGACAGATAAAAGGAACGATTCTATGATTTTTAATTTTCTGAGAAATAAACAAAAACAAAATGAGCAACTCAAATTGAAAGTTCAAAAAATATAAATTTCGTCAATATGTTCAATCTGAAGTTCCTTCTTTGTCCTCCACAATCACAACCCGTGTCGGAGTTCTGTCTGCAAAGTGGAACACGTCGAAGATAACTTCAATAACAATGAGGATGATGATCATCCATTCCAGGGTGGAAGCCTGAAAAAGAGTAATTGAGCAAGAGATTGTAGAGTATCAAACTTACATGACGTAATGCTAAGACATTATCAACCATCTTGACTAACCCTTCGCAGTAGTCTAACCTATTATTAAGTTGCCTGGAATAAAGCGAAAGTAGATTTCATCCTCTTAAGGAAGAGCTCACGTTAAACGTTTACTTAATGTAAAGTGTCGAGCACTGAGTGTGTAGTACTTCTCGATATCACTTCTTTCCCAATAGAAATCTCTGTTCAATAGATCACAATCCAAATTTATAGAATGCCTAGGATATTCACAACATGTTTTATAAGAGGATAAGAAACTCCTCACCTTAAAGCTGCAAATTCTCCTGATCTCATAAGAGTTTCTTTTCTGTTCCAAGGAATCCGCCCCTCTTTTAAGGACTGGAAAGCTATCGTATACTAACTACAGTATACGGAAGTTTACCTTTGTCGTATCAGCCAATGGCTCTGATAACTCATTTAGCAAACACTCCCAAACACCAATTTTCACTGAAACCTTTGTTCTACTCATCGCTTATGATCATCGTCTTACCTGATGCAGCAAAAGCTTGACTCATAGCAAATCTCTCGAGAATAGCATCAAACCCTCTGTGATTTTTGCCATGCTTTTCCGAGTTCAAAATGAAACGATCATGTTTGATAGAGTTTTCTCTAAAACAGGAAGATGGACCATCAAAGTATGAAAATGTCGTACTCATTGGAAAGACTAAACGGCATACGATCCTGCTCTTCTAGAACTGTCCTTGATTCGTAACATCCAGTTGTGAACTTCTCCAAATCTCTCATTAATTGAACTCTCTGAAGATGGATGAGAAATTCAAGTTTGAGAAGCGATATACCTGTGGCAGCTCAACATTCCAGAACACTAGTACTCCATCACCGAAGGCGTAGATCTCGCTTAATTCCGCAGGATTGACGATATATTCGAGTTTCTTGACGAAATGCAAAGCATTGTCAAACTCTGAAGAAGATTTGAAGATGGTTTTTACATTTCAAAATACCTTCGTCTATGTAGGAAACATTAAAGAGACTATTTATGCTAGGGTCCTGAGATATGGCTTGCAAATCGATAGATTCTGATAAGGCAATTGACACAACTGTCGGCTCTTTAATCTAAATTTGATAAAACTAACTATGCCGTTATCTTTACCTTCTACCACAAGAAGAAAATTCAAAGTACCGTTCTTGTAATGTTAGCTGTTACAGGTCTCCTCTTCCTAGGAACTGGACGTCGAGCTTTTGTAATCAAACGTTCAAATTCATCAAGTCTTGAGCTTTTTTCAGTTGAATAAAGTTTGTGAGAAGCGCTGCCAGTGATCCTTCTGCAAGGAAAAAAAAACGAAGGATACAACCCATTATTGATTTTCGATCATACCTGAACAAACGAATCTTTGAGAAGTTCCGAGTTGAAGGTTGTGTTAATCCGCGCAGGAGAGCTACGGTCGTTTGGTTAAATAAAGATTTGGCGATAAAAGACATAATGATACATTCAAATCACTGTACTGCTTAGAAGCTTGTAAGAAATAGACGTTAAGACTTTTCAATATCTTAAAGAAGTTTGTAACTTCATTTATGATTAAATGATGGGTAAGTACGCAAAAGCACGTAATCTGCTTTTTGTACAAATGCAATGGCGGCAATGTTTAAATTTCGGCATTAGGTTAAATGAGTATGCTAATTTCTGAATTATGAGTTATATGTTAAGCTTTTGCATTATTGAGACGTAATCTTGGGATTAGCGTTCATTGCTCCTCCCCTATATCGCTTTCTTGGTGGTTTGAGCTTAGTATAAAAGAGTTTGATATCTCGTAGACAGCGTCTTCCGTTATATCCTTCTGAGTAGACTTTTCAGAGAACAGTTTTCAAATATGCCGAAAGAATTTGCCAGGGCTGTATTGGAGGTTTTCTACGAGCAGAAGCAAACCATAATAAATATATGTAGAGAGAACATGGTCGATGAAGAATTTGTTGGAAATCGTAAGTGCGTCTCTTCGCTTCTTAGCATATGTGCTTATAGGGTTCAGCAAGTTAGATGATAAATTGCAAAATATAAACCTTTACTTGAGTCGTATTGAGCGTGCAGAGGAGGAGAACAAACAACTGAATGAACAGTTTAAAAATAATCAACTGCGAGATGAAGAAAAAGCTAAATGTCGAGCGATTTTGCAGGCACGTTCCCTCTCTTCCAAACACAAGTTGTAAAGAAATTGTTTTTAAGGAAGCTGGCATAAGAATAATTGATCCGAAACCTAAAGCTCCTGAGCCAGTAGTAGTGGTGGAAGAAGAGGCAACGAAGAACCCCCCTGAAGCAGCGAAAGAAGAGCTAGTAAATTACGCTCGGGTTAATGACCTTCCTTTAATTGAAATTGCAGTTGTTCGCACAAATAACAGATGAAGAGTTCGCTAAAGTGCCAGATTACATGAAAGGAAGACTAACAGCTGCAGTCATGAATGAAGTTTGTTTTCAATGGTTGAAGGTAGTCTGAAACTGTTTTTCAAGCTTCTCGGGAAACTGGAGTCATTGTTGGTTAAGAAGCGGACACTAATGAGACGGAAACTGTCTTCTCTGTCGTTGCATGAGAAGAATATCGTAATAAAATGGAGAGAAGAAGCAAAAAATGTGAGTAATTGTATGATATAAGGTAACCTGGAGATGTATTGTAGCTGGGAAGGAAAGCAGTAGACTGTCCTTGGTTCTGTTCTGAAGTTGATCTCCGAGCTGAGCTTACTGACAAGCTGAAGTTGGCTGTGATCAAAGGATTACAAATTCTACGACATCTGAAGAGAATCACAGAATCAAAGCTGGCAGGGAAAAATTATGTTTTTGCTGTTTGTAAATAAGTTCATTCAATACTCAAACTGAGCTACTAACGAAAATAAATTATTTATTCAGCTCTCAAGGTTGTTTAGTTCATAGTACAGGCTTAGAGAAAGGGAAAGTTGTCTTCTTCATCCGATAAAAAAGGCGGTGAATCAGCTGAAATCTTATCATCAGAGTTTAAGCACACATGCAACCTTACACGATGAAACAGAGGAGGAATCAGAAAGTTTCGACGTTTTTGACTCTGGTAAAGAGCATTTCAGCATTCTGAAACAGACAGTAGCCCATATAGAGGCATGATAACTTACTTAAAAATCTCGACACGAGCTTCTGAGAAAGAGAGTGATTGCAACCTCTGTGTTTGTTCATCTGCCAATGACAACAGTTTCAAAAGAGCGACAAGAACGAACCTATGAGTTTGATATCCTCCAGATCTCTTTTTCGTTGTTCTAAAAGTAATTTCTTTTTGCGGAGTGATTCCTTTGCTTCTGTCTCCGATTCTTTTTGTTTTTCATATTCTTGAAAGCTACGAAAGGAGTTGAGTGTGCGAGAAGCATCTCTATACGAACCATTTAATCTGTGAAATAGTCTGCCGCCATCGATTCAAATGTAGATGTAAATTAGACTTGATACTGTCATCATATTTCTATAGAAGGACAGTCTCTCAAGCAAACAACAGATGACGTTCTAACCTTTGTTATTGTCTTGACATCAGTTTTGTTAAAAATTGAAAATTCCGATATGACAAGAGGGCCAATGAAAGGGAGCAGATCATAAAACTTGATGTATGTAACGGAATTACTTTTTCTTAAGGACTTCTAGCGATCTCACGACTTCCCACGTGAACTTGGCTTTCATATCCAAGGCATTCAGCTTTGCATTGAGTAGATTAGTTTGAGGTTTTAGTTTGTCAATAATTACAAAAATATCTGTAACACTCATACCATGACGACGTCTATCATATGTACGCACCTCTGATTTCTTTCATTTTCTTCTTTAAAAATTTCTTTGTGGTCAGTCTAATACGATCTGTAAGAAGTGATGAGCATGACGATGAATGATAGAACTCTTACTTGGATCAGCTTCCATGTTATTATAATCAATTGAGTAAGTCTTCCGAGTGCCAACACTTTCAGGTCGCAACCTACTAACATTTGCAACTTTCAAGCTTGGTGACACTTCCAGCCGGGACTGCTTCATCATAAAAATTCCTAGAAGTTTGTTGATCAGTAGTTTAACAAATGAAGAAAAGTTATAAAACGGATGAACGGTCCGAATTTTCAAAAGCTACTTCTCACGTACGCGAAAATTAATTTTTACTTACTGTATTCTTCGGGACCATTAGCTTCTATTGCGAAATTTCTCACGAACTTGGCCGTCACGTGCTTAATTTATATTTAAATATGAAATGATTGACAACTTTATAATTATTTTATTTTCAGCCCTTCACAATATAGTCTATCACGTTAGATTCAAGAGATTTATCTTCTCCATTTTTAGAATTGAAAAGACGTCAGTGATGTGGTCACCGACAGAAGTGTTTTGGTAAGGTTTTTGGGTACTACTCAAGAGATGATTGATCTTTCAGTGGGCTTTTCCCTTCCTGTACTAATTGTGGAGCTTCTTTTGATGTCAAACATTTCGCTCCAATCACCCTTTCTTGTGCTCACACCTTCTGTCAGGCATGTTTAAATCGAAACCGTCAGAAACATAAACGAAGGTAATGATAGTGTGTGTTCATCTCAAACGGACACATTTCAGATGCTTTTCTTGTGAGAAACGTTATTCATCTTATAAAATCAACAGCAGTATAGTTGGTACGACCACGAATCCCTCTGACTTCTACAGCTTTGGTGATTCCAGAAACTATCAAAAGAATGAAAGAAAGAAGAGATTGGCTTGAACAACGATCATATCGATGTGATGAATGTGATGTCAGACGTCCCCAGAATGCATTACGTCGTTGTATAAGCTGTGAAGATCAAATAAGCATTCATGTACCTATAGAATTTAAATTGGTTAGCATAAAATACACATAGTTAATCATTTGCTTGGTATAGAACTGTGCCATTTGTTTAGAATGTTGTGTCACGAAACACAACGGACATGAGTTAGTGTCTTGTGGCGGTGCAGAATCTACATCTGACTCCATTGTCAGTCATTGCAACAGCATGTAAGTTTGTCAGTTCTTTATGTCTTGCAACCTTCATTCAGATCTGAGCCAACATCACCTGATCCTAGGGATCCTCTGGCTAGCCATCAAACAACGTTCTCTTCTTGGAATGGCGAAAGGTTTTTCAATTCTCAAACGTTCCCGTTCGGCTCACATAGGTTTCTATTGTTCAATATGCCAGTATAATGATTATGATTGCAGAGTACCCTTCCCTGACTCAAAACCTGTATATTTCAATATTAATCGATTCTCAAGTGAAGGCGTTGTTTGTGAAGAAAGTCCTGTATATAGTGTTAACATACAGTAGTCACGTACGGAGATATCCATTTCCCGCCGTGCTCTTTTAAATGTATTTTTTACGAGTCGCCTGGAGATTTCTTCTAGACAAGTGAGAGTTTAGTTTTCTTTTCTTAATTGAAGATAATCTCTTGTAATTTATTCTGGTATTCCCATTATTGGAGGAACTTTTTGGAATGCAAATTTAACATTTTTGATACTTTAACATTCGACCATAGTGTATAATTAACAATTTTTTTTGTTGAATTTATAAATGTACTAAATCAAATAAAACATTTGTGTATGGTTGTCACGTTGGGTTCAAACCCTTTACTACTTCAATCACCTTATGCTAATTGGTACGCCACGTCACCTCACGTGGCGTTGCACAATTCAAGTTGTATAACTCATTTAGATATTTTCAAACACGGAAGCGGTTGCTCACGTATACTGCTCTGAGATAAATATGAGATCTTTAGATTAAACCTTTATTTCCAGATCGATTCGGAAAACAAAAGAACAGATGAGCAATCTGAATAGACTAAAACTGGAGGATATTTCTGTCGTTGGGAAAAGCGAAATGTACGTTTCCTTGTGATGTTAATCTAATATTATCATGGGGTCCTCAATAGTTTACGTAAAGTGTGAGTAGCTGGACTGCAAGTAAGAGTTCGGAAAGCGATTTTTGCGGTTATGCTTTTCCGAATATTTTCCAAGCATGTTGAATTACCAACCTCAATTTGTCTTTTAAATTCAATTGTGAAGTTCGTAGTTTTCCTCTTTCCTGTTTTGCATAAGAACACGGAATATGGTAGGGAACTATATAACGCCTCTTGTTAATGTCCGAATTTCAAACAAGGCAAAGGCATTCAACGACTTGTGGACATTTAGCTTGGATGTAACATTGATTTGTTTTTATTCTGATGAAAGAGCGTCAACATGTACTTTCGTAGCTAAAAGAGAAGAAAGAGCTATCGTTCTTTTCATGATAGATTGTAAGAAATAGGAAAAATTGTTTTTTCTTCTAACTATAACAATATTGGGAGCTCTCCTACTGATAGAGAGGAGGAAGACACGTATAAGTTTTGGACAGTTCAGAGTCTTGAAGCCATGCCAATTAAATAAGAGCGTGATGCATGTCACAATCAGGCATTGTTACTCCTAAGCTATCTCTTGTCACCTGAAAGTAGTGATTATGCACATGTAGATAGTTTTTGGTTGATTTGAGCATGCTTCTAAGTATTTTAATCCATAAAACTTACTGTTGACACGAGCTGCCAGGCTTCTGAGCCACATTTTTCTACAATTACTGGGTGCGAACAACGCAAGTAGCCATCCATAGCACGACACATTTCTGACAGATAAGATTCGGTCGATGTCTGAATATTACATGTTGTTGTTCGCTATATCAATTGAAGTTACCTTTTTTCGTTGAGCTTCAGTTATAGCTTGTGTCGCGGCTGTTTTGCAACTAACATAGTTCTTTTCGGTTTCCACCTAAAATACATTTTTATATGGCGCATGAGTATTTGTACTAAGTTGTTTAAAAGGAATTCACTTACCGTTGCGAAACATACAGCGTGTTTCTCAAATAAAGGCTGTCCTGTACCGCACATGTAGCCGTAGCTTGCATCAACAGCGTCGACGGATAAGCTATCGCATTGAACTGTTTTTACGCATTTCTGCAAATTATAAATGTTCAATGATGTTTTCGTCAGACGAACTTGGAAGTCCTTGTAGATATTGCACAAGTTTCGAAACACATCTCCTCCTTGAAGAGGGAATTGCATTGCCCCGGTTTCTTCTTGAAGCTTAGTGGCATAATGAAGCATAGGCTGTAATTAGGTAAGCTTCTGCATGAGATTGAAGAATCACTAGAGTTGAATGGACTTTTAAAGGAACTTACTTGAAGGCATGAGCTAATTTTTTTCTCTTCTTCGTATTCGCATCGGTTGTGCTCAGTAATGGCGCTTGGGATCAGTGTGAGGAACAAGAATGCAGTTCTCAGCATGTTGATATCATCTATTGGGTTTATCAAACGTGTATGAGAACGCTATATCCTAAAATAATTTCGCATGTTAGCTCTTCTTAGCGAGGAACAACCAGATAGAACTAGAGGCAAATGGAGAGAGAGAGGAAGATATTGCTGTTAGTACTCAGGAAATTGAAGAACCTACCACGATAAATAAGGAATTTTCCTATTGTTTATGGACGTTTAGTAAAAACAAAGCAAAGCGTTCTGTGTGAGTTAATACTAGAAGCTTTCATGCCTTTAGATAACCCAGCTTCTTTTTTGTTCTAACCTGATATCATTAGAATAAAAGTGAGTAGGGAAGGCATTCGTGCTTTGTTACTTGATAATTAAATTGTAAGTGAATTAAGGGAAAATATCCGGTTATCAGAGTAGCGAGAGAATGAGCAAAGAACGCCTAGTTTCAATCAAAGCAATTCAACATGCGAAAACAGAAAGTTTCGCTTGACATCTAATGGCATGTCTACTGGCACATGTTCAGTTTATATGTAAAACGGAATGAAATAAGTTCTTGTTATAGGATAACTTAGATAAACGAAATGCAATGGATGACAACGCGAGTGAAATTGGTTATAATAGAAAGAGATGAAGTGCGAGAGGATAGAGTATTCGGTAGATGTAGTAAATGGAATTGTTGAAAGAGAAGTCAATCGAGCACATCCGGTCGCTCGCCATTTTTCTAGCTTAAAAGCATATGCGCTTATAATTAGTTATGACAGATTTTCCATCAGAAATTTCTGTATCTATGTTAAGTTAGAACAGCCATGTGCGTTTGTTCGATTGAACAAAGCAACCACACTGCCTAAATTAACTTTAAGGCGGAGGCTTTGTAGATTATGAAAAAAGGGAAAACAAAGAAAATGAAAAAAAAAGTGAAGGACTAGCACTTTCTAACGTCTTGTTCAGCGTATGTGTAAGTATGTGTATGTCAGATGTGGCTGAGATTCTTGAGGATGACAGCAGCTACTGAAAATCAGAGCGAACAAATGCAATCAGATGGAAATTGAATCAAACGGAAGAGGCCCGTCTAAGCGCACTAGGAGATGAGGACTGGGTATTGGTGGGCGAAGAAAGGATTAGAAGTCGAGAGGGCCAATGCACACTGATCAACCCCGTCATCCTCATCAGATTCTCATGAGCACAGCCGATTCATAGCTCAAGTATAAGGAAGCAATGTGGTTGTTGCAGCAGTAGCAGCGGCCGAAACATTCCTCCCCAAATTGAATACAATTGTTGTAACATAAGTGAGAAATCATTATATAAGCTAAAAGAAAATGAGTGAATGAATTGCTATTCAGGGTGCTGCTAGCTAGTGTCGGACCTACTCTGTGCATAAAAGTGTCATTGACAGATACATTAAAGCTGCTAGTGTGAGAGATAGCCGGGTGAGCCAACTCGATTGAGTTACAAGAAAAGAGTCGTCTCTCATTCTTTCCATTTACGTAGAAATATATTGAACGTTTTCTTTTCTGCTTGTTTTCAGGAAACGAAGAAAGTAAAACCACTATTCATTTCAACCATTCAAGGAGATCTTCTCAAAACAATCATCTAATAACAGGTGTTTGCTTCTTTGCTAATTTAAATGGGGGAATTAACAATAACTTAAAACAACATCATTAACAACATGTAATAGTGGTAACGTATAAAATTAGGTTTTTAAAAGCCAGCGAAATCATGCTGCTTGGCTAACTCTAGCAGCATAGGATCGTCGAAGAACTTGTTGACAGATACGTCCTCTGGTAATCCTTTGCGTCGTCTACAAATAGCTCATTAGGAGCCAAAGAAAAGAGTTTTGGCTTACCTTGTCTTCACCATGAATTCTCTAGCAAGATGAGGAGTAGGCTGGAGCTCAAGAGGGCGAATCACAATAGACTTATCCAGTGGATCTCCAGGTACAATCTGAAACAATAATCAAAAAACGCTTCTATCAAATTGCTCACCTGCCAATGACTAAACACTGACAAACAGAAAGCTTGACCCTGAGTATGTGTTCTCAGATCAGTTTCGAATCCGAAGGAGTCCATAACAGGTATGAAAGCCTAAAGTTGTAAATTTGAATACGGCAAAAAAACTTTTCAACGTACTTGAATAGTGTACATGGGTGAACCGGGAAGTGGAGCATCTTTATTTACGTGACCTCTTCTCTTGGCGAGAACGTTATATACTGATGAAACACAATCTGCTGGTGCAATTACTTCTACAGTATAATAAGGTTCCATCAAGCGTGGTGTTGCCATCTGAAAACGTGTAAAAGGTAATCAGGTGTAAACTACAAAATACCAAAAATGCAGAGTAGACGCATCTTCTTGATGCTGGGATGATCTGTCCTCCTCCTCTATATAAGGGTTCATTAGCAATAGAAGCATCGAGCATCTTGAATTTCACATTTCTGATTGCTGAAACAAGAGCCTTAACGTGATCCGGATTGAGTGAACTCACGTTCTTCACAAAGTGGTCCAAGACGAGTGGCCCATTGGAAACCTTGAACCAGGGATTCTCTAACAGATCCCAAAAGATGTTTATCAACCTAGAAAGGATTGCAAACTAAATGTAAACACAAAAAACAAACTTCTGAAGGAAGAGTGTCATCAAGAAAAACATTAGGTCCAGATGTATCTGGTCCGAAAGCCCAGATAGAACGAGCAGCCAAAAGATCCCAATCGTACTTAGTTTGGAAGAACTCTCCAAGTCTTCTTTTATTCCAACCAATTTGAACAACCTGTCGAAACAATGGTAAGCGTCATCTCTTGTGAGCACATTATCACCTCATTTTCAATGTCTTCGGCCAATCCTTTCTCCAAAGGCTCGGCAATGATGGTGATTTTGTTTTTCTTGTTGGTGGTTTCAGCGAAACATTTGAGGGAAGATGTTTCAACAACAGTTTCGCAGAAAGTGACAACAGGGTCTGCTACCTTGATGTCGATTTCGGAGAAAACCTTTGAGAAATTTGGTAAACACCTGGTATTATACGACTAACCTTTCTCAAATCATGCATAACACAGTCCATATAGAGTTCACCTGTACCCAAAATAACATGTTCTCCAGATTCTTCGACACGGGTGGTCAACAAAGGATAAGATTTATTAACCTGAAAAGAGAGAAAAGATTTTAACAGTTCCGCGATTAGTGATACCTTTCTCAGAGCGTCGAGCATCTTCGGTAATTCTGAGGGATTGATTGGTTCGATAGCAAGTTTGACTACACTCTTGGTGTTGAACTTCAGAGGACGGAAGATGTACATCTAAATTTCAGATGAACAAAAGACACAAGAGCTTCTAGATTACATCTTCCTCATAATGTAACTCAGCAATGGTGGCGGTTTTCACAATCGGTTGATCGACTCCCTCAATGAGTACCCAACAACCAGCAGGAACTCTATTAACTTCGATTTGATACCTAAATTCGGAATTGTTGATGAACCATGTTTCGAACTTACCGAGCCATATGAACCCAGAGACGCCCGACTGGTAGACTGCGGCAATCTTCTTCATCTTGAATACTGTACTTTTCTCCGAGTATACGTACTTCAGCTCCAGCTTCCAGAGTTCCATTCAAAACTCTTCCAAAGACTCTGAATGATGTGGCATCGTCTGTCGGGTAATTCTTAGTAGTGTGAACCATCAATGGACCCTAAATGTCTAGTTATATCTATAACGAGCTATAAGTGCTCACATTAGCGTCACATTTGTACATCTCTTGAGCAAGTTTACTGTCAGCGGGTCCCAGCCAGGTCTGTTCAATTTTTGTTTTGGCATTTTCTTGAGGGGACTTTATGTTTTTGACTACAAGATCGACAAAAGCTGAAAAAAAGGAGTTCAAAAAAGAGAAATAATAACTCATTCACCTGTGAAGTCACCAAAGAATCTCTTGCATACTAAGGCAATAAGAGGTCTGACATTCATTTTCTGTTCCTCTTTGCTTAATCTTATTCCCAACTCATTCATCATGTAAGGGAGGCAAGTATCAACGTCTCCAACAATCTCAAATTTTTCAATATGAGTAGGTAACAGCCAATTTTCTTACCTGACTGAAGATCTTATAGATAGGCTCAAGAATGAAATCAACAAAGGTTCTCTGACTTGCTCCAGTGAAAGGTTTCTTAGAGAACTTTCTTGTCTTTTTATCGAAATAGATATCTCCCCAAAGTCTTCTTGCGAATTCATTAGGGTCGAAACCAGCTGAGTTCTTGAGGTTACGCAAAAAGGAAAAAAGCACACTCACCGTGTTGTTTGGCATATACATGGGCAAAGGAGAGAAGGGAGAAGCAAACGTTGTATCTGCTGGAGGCAAAAATAACATTTCCAGACAATGGTGACATAACCGGAGCATCATCTTCACAGAAAGTTTTCAAAAGAGCATTAACTTGATCAATAATCATGCGAATTTTGAAGTAAGCCTCAGCAGGTGGAAGCTTCAACTCAAGAAGAAGACGATCAATTTTGTTAATACAAAGAACAACTGGAAGTCGTTCTTGAATGGCATGCTTAACAGCTCTCTCAGTTGACATCATGACCTAGAAGGGACCAAGAATACATAAAAGAAGTTTCAAGAAAGTGAACTCACTCCTTCGTGGGCGTCAACAATAACAACAACTCCATCAGCTAAACGGTAAGCTGCGGTCAGTTCGTCAGAGAAGTTAACGTGTCCTTAATTGAAAGCGTTCAGAAGTCAAACGAAGGAAATCGAAACCTGGGGTATCAATGATATTGAGTAAGTAACTTTTGTGTCGAGTATCTTGCATAACAATACTGATGGGCATTGCTCTGGTCGAACATCCACTGAAACAACGATGGAATGAAAAGAAAGTAAGGAAAATAGTTTACCGTTGTTGTTCAATGAACAAAGTACTAGTGTATTTAGTTTCTTTTTCTTCACCACGGAAGAACCCAGGATGAGTTTGCTCCATCAAACAGTCAATGAACGTTGTCTGGAAGAGAGATTGAACGGAACTACCATATAAGAACTTACTTTTCCATGATGCAAATGTCCAGCGATAGCAATATTTCTTATTACATGAGGGCAATCCATTAAATCAGCCAAGTATTCCTTATTGTAAGTGGTGCGAGGCAAGTTGTGTTCAATAGCCTGAGAGCAGACTCGGTGGCGATGTTGTTTCAGAAAAAAGTACCTGGAACTTCCTCTGTGTCATAGGCTTAATAATAGGTTCAGTTAAAGGCTGTGCATCTTCTTCTTGAACTAATGTTTCAACATTCTCTCCGTAAATCTAAAATATCCGAATTGGTCCATGTCACTTCGACGTGTCTGCCTACCTCAAGGGCTGTTGAGTAATATTTTTTGTCCTCATGCAATACGATCTGATTCTGCAGAACTTCTTCGGCGTCATCATCCATTTGCTCCTTAACTCCATATGTAACATGAAAAAGAGTCAAATCTTACTTGATCATCATCATTCTGTTCATCGTCTTCATCTCCTGGTACTGGTACATCATCATCATCATCATCGGAGTCCAAATCGGGTCCGATGTAGTTACCGAATTCATCATAGAGATCGGCGTCCATCCCTAGTTTTTCAGGAACTTAAAGCAAACATATGTAACGTAACAAAAATATATATGGTTATAAGACTAGTTCAAGCTTAATTTGTGTCTTTTAACACTGCATGGAAATTCGAAATATTTGAATTGTACGGCCATGCACACCATCCGTGTCAACATGAAGTGCTGGCATAATACTCGGCACACAGAGCGAGAGTCGTCTGTCTTCACTGGAGACTGTTAATCGTTCATTTGAATCCTTTACCTTAGTTTCCAGTTCAAATTAATTAATATAAGACTATCTTGTTGTTTTCATGGTGCTATTAACACTTGATCACATTATCCCAGAATCATTCACTTGAAACTTGGTTATCAAGATGGTGTGGGAACATGGTTGATATGCATGTCAGTAGTATCAGTTTGAATAACTAGAAAAACAAAGTGCTGAACACCTCTTTAAGTAAACAGTAGCGTCTTTATAAGTGCTAATGATTCTTTTTTCTTTACCAATAGAGTAACGACATTGATAAGTTGGAGGGGGAAGCAAGTGTTCCTATCGTGAACTGGAGGTACTAGAGCTTTAAGACTTTCTAATGCGGTGTGTTTATACAACAAGTGAGGTATGGGGTAGACTGAAAGATTTATTAATCGCTGACAAATTCTTTTGTTCTCTTGCTGGCTATCTCACAGTCGTCTGATGTCTCCTCCAAAGGTCTCTTCAGATTTTGGCCATCACGATTCTTCTGTATCAACCTTAACCTGGCTTTATGTTTCTTTCCTCCAACGTGCTTCTCCCTTAAAAACAGGTTCAGGATTGAAAAAAAAGAAAACTCGTACCAGTTGTTCTTCCCACTGATCAGTATGTCACATTCTGCACAATGGATCGTCATATTCGAGTCATCTACACTTTCAGTTTCCTTGTCATTCTGAGTAACGATCCTAATTAACGACAAGTAGTAACAGTCTTACAGTTTCGTTGAAATCTTCCCCGTTCATCCATCTCTCCACATGCTTCAGACCCCCTTCAATGAAAGTATCTTTATCTGAAGTGTCGAGCCAAGTAAAAGAGAAGCTCTGAAGTTGTGGTTGTACGAACAATACAAAAGAAAAACTTTACCTCTTTGTTATTACTTTGGCGGCTGATCAATCTGGATCTAACCCAAGAACGTTGTTTTCTTGAATATTGTCTTGTGTGGAGCTTCACTTCCTCGCATCTGAAAGTAGCTGTAGAACACATCCTTCGCACACAAAGGATACCCTTGTTCGAGAAGAGAGTCTCCGACTTTGGAATTTCTTTGTCTTGTTTCCAACTTCAGAAAAGGTATAAATTCTTTTAATCCTATGCATTGCATAATACCGTAATCCATAGTGTCCAAATGCTTCTTATTCTGCAAAAATTCCTGATCAAATTATTGTTGTCAAAAGCGAGCTAATAGGAAGTGTTGTTTCCTCCAGTGCTTGCAACTTGCTTTCATAGCTGTCTATGAAGACTACTCAACTAACATTTTCGTAAAATAAACAAATCTCCTGCTTTAAGCCATTGTATTTCATTTTTTCTACCCGTTTATTGAGCCTCTCGTCTAATACACCTAACGCGGCATCTAATGAGATCACCTAAATGCAACAGAACGTCAAATATTACACTTCTACCAAGCTTACAAGAGTATCGTCATATCGTACTTTCACTCCTTCAGCTTTTTTTTGATCGTCCAAATGCTCACTTTTCCTTTTTCCTGTCAATTTGAAAATCTCTATTGCACGAAGAACTCGTGCTCGATTGTTGGGATGAAGAGATTCCGCAGATTTTGGATCGATCTGAACAACAAGCTCGTCGAACAAAGGCAGAACTCGATAACTAACTTCTTTCAACAATGAGTATAAGGTCGTATTGGACAACTTCCCCAACACTTTCAAATCTTCGTTATGATCAGGAGGGACTGGAATGGGCTCAAATCTCGAAAGTCATGATAGGACTCACCTTGTGTTGGAATGAAGTTATCTTGGAACAACAAACTCTCCACGTAATATGTTGTACCTCCGGCTATCACAGGGATGTTCCCCCTCTCCTGAATCTCCTTGAACAAATATTCAATTAGAGACAAACAATGCTTACGAACCTTTATAGCTTGTAATCCCATTTCTCGGAACTGTTGAACGTTGAAGTTGGATGTGCATGGATTCACGAAGCTCATTAGATGGTGGGGAACTCCTTGCATCTCATCGTCCGTGATTTTATTTGTTGCTATATCCAAGCCTTTGAACAAGAATTGTTGTTTGAGAGTGTGTGCATTATATCACACCTTGATAAATCTGCATCGAGTCCGCGCTTATCACTTCTCCGCCATACTTCTTGGCTATCGCTACGGCCAAGTCACTCTTGCCGGTTCCAGTACAACCGATTACGAAAATCACCTTAGAAAGCGCGATTGGAATGGGAAGAAGAGTATGAATTACCGGCTGAGTCCGGAGAGTCGCCTGTGGAATATCACTCATGACTGTAAAAATCCTCCCTAAGATTCTCTTAAGCATAAAACATTCCTTGAATGATATTGTTTTTTAAGGTTGAAGGGAAGAGATTAAGATAAAGCTATCAGTTATGACTTCGAAATCACAGATATCAACACAATTGAATGAAAACATTTAAACAATTAAATCAACAACGATGATTTTAACACATCCAAGGCTTTGGCTCGATGGCTTATCGTATTCTTCACTTTTGAATCCATCTCGGCGAAGGTCTGATTGAAACCTTTTGGTTCGAACACAGGATCCCATCCGAAGTCAGGTGGTCCTCTTGGTTGAACAATAGATCCATCACAGATTCCTGAATAACACCATCTGATGAAAATTTGAGCTCGAAAAGCGAACCTTTGTAAAGACTGACGGGTTGGTCAACCCCTGAGGTGTATGCGAAAATGCATTGAGCATAAGCAGTTTTGTCTTCGAAACCATCTGAAGAACCTCTATGATGTTGATGACGCGCATACTAATGGTTCACCTAGCATCTTATATAGTCCCTCACGCCCTACTCCTTTCAAGAACCATTTGATATATACACCAGGTAATCCATTCATAGCATTAAAGCATAAACTTGTGTCCTCAACCTAGAAGTCAGTCATGATTTCGAATCCCCCAGAATCGTACAAAACCAAAACAGGTCCATTCAGTAACTTAGCAGCTTGTTGACACTTTCGTTCAGCTACATAGTCAGGTGTTCCCTGATACTCGTCTAGATCTATATCTACATGCTTGATCTGAAAGCTATGTCCTAAATGAGGAAACTTTGCTACGACACCTCATAGTGCTCACTCAGTATGGCATTAACTTCAGCTATCTTACCCTTGTTCCCTGAGCAAAAAGTGAGCACTCTCTTCATCTGAAGTTAAAACAGCAAGTACACGAGACATTTGAAGAGAATGTGAAAGTATGATGAGCGCAGAAAAACACTTCGTCAACACAAACGAATGAGCAAAATTATTTACCTACTTGCATTCAAAATTAATCTGATAAAGAAATCTCTATAATCTAAACTAGGCTTAATACTTTCACTAGAAATACAACAGAGACAGAACAATTATGTTGATCACTATCATTCACATGAAGTTCACGCCAGCACCGATATGGAATCCCCGCTGGAATGAATCACCGGGAACGAATTTCAATGGATGTACATAATTCATCTCCAAACGGAATATATTTTTGAAGATGAACGTCAAACCTGTAATAGAAGAGTTAAACTATTGTACGAGAGGAAGATTGCTCACCTAATCCAGCTGACACTCTCTGACTTTCTTGTAAATCTCTAGAAACGTTACGCGATCTTACAGAGGAAACGGCACCGCTTGCTACGAAAGCGTGGGCAAACAACATATCCGGTGGGAACAGTGGCTTGTACAGATGAACAACTCCAGCTACTGAAGCACCTCCTCCGAGGCAACAATTCTCAACCCGGGCCTGAAGCAAAAAATTATCAAATGGTTTTCAGCTCTAGCATACTCCAAGACTATTCAAGCCAAATCCTCTGATGTCTTGCTGACCACCAAGATACACTCTGTCTAATAAATGTACTTCACGATCTCCTAGCGCGTTAACCATGCGAGCTTGGAAGGAAGCAGCTAGTATTGTTTTGAAAGGTAGTTCAGTGGCAGCCTATGTATTCTGTTTTTAACTCATATTTCTTTTCAGTTTACCTGGAAATCCAATTGATGTCTGAGGAATGAGGAGTCACCTATAGGTGGAGCGTACTCCTGGACAATGCGGGCTTAACAGCAGAATATGATTTGCCTCGAAATGCATGATACAAACCTAGGATTCCCTTTGTTGCAAGAATGGGTCTATCACGAGTATCCATGGATATCGAATTTTCCATTGAAAACTTCATAGTGTGTCCAGCATGCTCCCTCACTTGGAAGACAGCATCTTGTGTAGCACTAAGAGCTCTCCAAATCTGAAGAATCTCGACTCGTAAGAAATATCAATTCATACTCCTCACAGCGTTCAACTTGATAGAGTGTAACAATCGCTGTTTCCATAATTGACCGTTATAATGAAAAATCATTGCAGTTTCTTCGACATTAGTATGATTCCAAGGTAGGAAAGCCATAGATCTGAAATATTGAATGAGGAACTGAACCCTGACCCTAACAACCTGAATGCACTAACTCCATAGTTGCAATACTTTTGCCATCCTAACACAGGTTTATTTAGAGCTACGTTGAAGCTGTGATCTCCCTAATTGATTGAGTAGAAGGAAATTTCGAGAAACAAGAAAAACCTTAACGGAATAGGTGTAACTGCTGTTGAAGGATTCTCCTCGGCCGCCTATGCTCTGCTTACCAGCGTTCACGGACATGTCAGCATCACCATTGGTACTCATTCCAGCTTTAACTCCCAATGAGAAGGACTACAAGGGAATGTATATAATTCCAACCTCCTACTACTTTGTTATACCTTTGGTTCTTTAACAACAAAATTAACAATATACCCAGTTGAAGTAGGAGCTGTGTCGATGAGTGCTACGGCGCCATCCATTAGGCCAACCTCCTTAATCAGATATGAAATTATAACTCTGAAGGACCCTTCAAACTTGTAAATGCTTCGCAGCCAAGTGCGAATTATGAACTAATTCATCTAATGTTCCGCTTTTGTACAACTCTGACACCTGAATCATCGATTGTATGATAGCAATGAAGGGCTGTCTACCTCTTTGACCAAACCATCATTCTTGGTGATATGAACTCCATGAAACTGAACAGCTTCTACTATTGAGGGAGTTCCTTCCGTTTTACCCAATAGAACAGAAGCCTTGTGAAAAGTCTTCTCTCCCATTGAATGAAAACTATGATGTCCTGTAGTTAGCTTCATGATAATCATGTTCGACATAGGTCATCTTCGGAGAAGTAACGAAGGGAGCGTACCCAGCAAATTCAAAGAATACGAAGAGATAACAAAACTTTCTTTCAACAAATAACAATGAAAACAATATGATGTTTCTAAGAACGTAAAAGGTCAGCATCTTCCGCATTTTCTTGTTCCACACCTCCAATATGGATTTTGTCCAACTTCGCACCCATGTCATCAGTATTGAGTGAAGCTACTTCTCGGAAAGCGGAGCTCTGGAATGGTGATAAGGGTGAACTTGTGAAATTTAATATCACGATACCTCCTTCTTGGCTTCTTGACGTTCTTGCTCATCTAAAGCTTTCTTATCTTCGATCAACTTTCTATACATTGGCAAGTACTCGGCAATATACTGTTTTCTACACTTCTCGATAGCTTCAAGAACATCTTCCATACCTTCACCGGTAGTGGAAGAAGTGCAGACTAAACGATTACGTTATCCAAAATGAAAGAGATTAAAAGTACCGGTGGAGAGTCCTTCGTAAAATTCATCGAGCACCAAAGAAAGTGATCGACTGAGATCATTACTATATGAGCTTCTTGTCTCTTCAAGAGCTTCGTCGAATTTTTCAAAATCTTTCATCCATTTCTGAGCGAATGTTGGTTTGACAATGTCTGACTGAAAAAGAAGCGTGAGAAAATTGCCTAATAAAACCAATAACCTTATTGAAAACTATGAAGAATGGAAGTTTAGTACGATAAAGAATGGAGCAGGCATATAACATATTAGACATGAAAGTTGTTGGATTGGTAGCTCTAGCCGAATCGACGACGTATGCTATGCACTGAACGAGAAGCATTAAAAATGAATAGCAGGTAGCACATACTGTTGGATGGCTGCTCGCCAGAGAATCCGTGATGATGGAACCACTTGCACTCCATGTGAAAGCTTCAATTTGCCCTGGTGTGTCGATGATGCATGTGGAATACTGCGTAGCTCTAGACTTGATGATAGATAGCACCTTAACTCAACAGGTATTAAAAACTTCGTAGTAGTGCCTAACCTGATCGAAACGTGTGCACATCAAATTTAAGCAAGTTATGATAGCGCCATTGGGTCCAAGATTATACTCTTCCATAACTTGTTTATATTTAACAGTGTCCCTTATATCTACATTAGCTGGGTAGGGAACCTAAACATCAACTTTCATAAAATTTCAATTCACGTAACGTCTTAGTTGCCCAACTATCTTTCATTCATTTACGTCGCACTGCCGTGAACCGGTTGCATTGAACACAACAATTTTTTACTCCAACCTATCTCTCTCTATTTCAGAAATGAATACCAGACCTTATGCACAGCTGGATCCAAATTGATAACATAAGGTGGAGTGTTTTTTGAGTGAAGGTGAGCACTTAATCTCTAGAAAAAGGTAGACTTATACTAGCCATAGCGTGCGCGACACACCTGGACAAATGAAGTCTTGCCTGATCCAGCCATCCCTAGGACAAGTACTGTCGGTGGAATTTCAATATTTGGTTCAACATAATCACTTTTGGGAATTAAGTTGATAGGTGTATTAGAACAACCTTCTCCTGACATCTTAGATGAAAAACTTATAGAAAATCAATACGAATACAACAAAGGTAGTAAGCCGACTTGAGGAACGGCATAGAGTAAAACGATCTTTGTATATATACAAACTAAATATATTTCCTAAAAAAAACACAAATGTACAGTTATGACTCATATTAGATATACACAAAGTTAATATAACCGTTTCATACGAATCATAATCATAAAATCAATTTTAAACAACTATCCCCGTATTAAGAGACTAGACATTCATGTTACACCAAGTGAACTCCATTATTGCCTGGTTGAGGATCATCCGGGATTGAATTCAATGAACTATGAGAATTGGAATGTAAGCCAGGAAAACTCGCTGAGTTCTAAATGATATCATCAATCACGCTAACCAGTAGTTAAGACCAAACCTGCTTTCTCACACTGCCAGGTGGACAACCTTTGATTATTCGAAATGGATTTGTGCGAGGAGAAGAGTTTTCAGGTCGTGGAACTCCTAACATATCACAAATCGCTTGTAGCTTGAGGCCTCTAGCTGTTTGTCGACCCTTAAAGAATATCATTTTGCGAATCGAGAAAACCTCACTTACTCTAGTTAACCGTTGTTTTGCTGCCATACATCGGATATGGTCATCGAACAAGAGTTTTCCGTTTAAAAGACATTGTCTTTTCTGATGTCAAGAAGATAAATAGATCAAATGAAAGCAAACAAACTCTATTTCTTGGAGGCTGTCCTTCGATAACGATATGAAGAGCCCGCGATTCGGTAGGATCGCCGTTGATCTGAGTGTCCTAGAGAAACAGATATACATCCGAAAAAACAACAACGATGATGTACCTGCAGCAATCCGACAAAACGAACAACAGCCCATCCTGCTTTTTTAGTATCCGGCTCAACCAGGATGAACTGAAGACGGTCAGTGACCAGAAACCTGTGACTTTTTTCTTTCTCTATAACAAGTACGCAAGCCAAGAGATCGGAATTGTCTGAAGACAGCGATTGAATGATTTAAATGATAGAGTTGAGTACTTAGATTGATGCAGTCCCCGAGAGCAACAGCTTCATCCTTACAGAGTGAAATCGGTAACTCGGAATCAGATTCGCCATGCAAATCTTTTTCTAGCTTTCTAACATGCAAATATAACTGTATGAGCTTAAATAGGAATCAATTTTCATCGATAACAGGTAGAAATCTAACCGATCTGATTCTTTCTTCAAAGCCTGATGGTAATCTTTTCGGTAATGGTAGTCCTGATAAAGCTGTGGAACAAGGAGGAAGAAGTAACTCAGCAGATACAACTTCCAAATTTAAGCGACTTCTCTTCAATGCCACAATGAATCAACGATCGGGAAGAAAATGCTCACCTCGAATTCCGCATACTCATCCTCGAACCATTCCAAGAAAAGATTTTCCGCGTTCACATATGCTCCGAGCTGTTCAACCAAGCTATAGCTTGTATTCTTTGTTACCTGGCACAGCCTAGTTTGTATCTAGACAAATACGTATGAGGACAAGAAAAACTAGAAAGCATACTTGATCAGCATCAGTAACCATAATCAACTGTCTCAACACGAGACAAGACAACTCCAACACAACAGGTCTTAACCGTATGTCATCATTGCCCGCAGCTTCTATTACCGATAACAGAGCTGAGAGGATTCTTTCATCACATGTTATGGTGTTGTTTTGATCGTTTTCAGGTGGCAATGCCTTAAGACAGTTATGAGGAAGAGGTTCCAATATTTTTAACTACCTCTTCTCCGTATTCAACTCCTTCAGTGTTTCGTCTTTTGATTATGAGGGAGGGGATGTGCGCAGCAGTCAAGATATCTCCGGCATCACCTGAAATAGAGATTTGCCGATTTCCCAAACTAAGACATGCTAATATTGAACTAAAACACATTCGAACACAACGTTTGAACTTACATTCTACAGGAAGTTTTATGAAATAGAATGATTGCACGAAAATTGTTTGGAAATACCTTTGTTTTGAAACATGGAATAAACAACCATTAGAGCGTAGAATACTAAGTAGTCATCGCATTTAGGCATGTCAAAAGAGCTTAGTAAGCTCTCGAAAAACACTCTGAACCCGGAAACATTGAATAAGCAGGAGGAAAACAATCAAAACTAACCTAACACCTGATGGTGGATCAATCGAGTCTAAACATAGTAACGTGTAGGTACTTTCCTGTCGAACCCAATGATTGTTCAGAACTGAGCAGTCGTCAAACAAGAAAGCTTTGAGAAAACGATTAATCGTTCCTTTATGCGAGATAATCTTTAAGTAACATGATAAGTACCATTATTTTGATATCAAACTTACAAGTAGAACTTGAGAGAACAGGAAAAGGCTGGAGACTGAAGTCAACAACATCGACGAGTTGTGCCTTCGAGAAGCCAGGCTATTGAGCAATAGAGGGAACAAGAATCTTTAAACGGGAAAACGTTTAACAAAGCTTTAGTGACAAAGTTACCTTGAGGAAAGAAGATCTGAGAGCGATTCCGCAAGAGCATCGACATCCAGCAGCTCCGAGATATAATGAAGTAAGTCGACCAAGTCATCAACCTGAATTTGGAAAATTTATTGCTCGTGATAACTAACACTAACCTTATCACGTAGTCTGTCACGGTTAACTGCAACATTCTCCGCCGAACGCACAAATATGTCCAAGTCGATGGTATCACGTACGATGGTATCGATGAGCTGACACAAATAAGACTATAAAAATCAGTTGCAAGAGAGACAACATGGCAGAAAGAACCTTAGTTGTCGATTGTAAAAAGGTGAGCATAGCAGGATCGTTGACACGCGCAATATTAAGGAAGATGTTGCGAACAGCAATCCTAACCATACCTTCAGAGGAATCAAAAAGTTTTAAGGTTTCCGTCAACAATGCGAACTCATTAGTTGACTGTAAGAGTGTTCTCATGCTGATTAACGACTTGAACAAACTAACCTCGGTGAAGAAGAAATGAATTGTACACGGGTTGAGTTTGAATGAGAGAGTTTTCAAAAAAGATATATAATATGCCATAATTTCCTCATTCGAGAGATCGAAATTATACGTAATAATATAATTCACATGATTATTACTGAGCAGAAAATCTGAAACATGGTCATCAACTTTGGCATCAACAACAAGTAAACTCACATAAAGAAGTTTCATGGCGAATGTTTTCAAAAAGTATATTGAGAGTTTGCAGCAGCTGCACATTCAAAGATCCACTCTCCTGTTTCATGATTTCCAGAAAATGAGAGAGCATTTGCCTTTCCAAAAAGAAACTAAATGATTACATGAAAAGTATGAGGGATAATGATTGAAAGTCGTACTCGAAGACAGAACCATCGTTCTGATCTCCCCATATGAGAATTTCGGCAATAGCCCTTAAAGCTTCTACGAGAATTTTCCTATTCGAGTCAGTTACTTTCTCATTCTTGACAAGAACACCATGAAGGTACCTAAACGATGTAGGAAGTAAACAGAGTAAGAGAAGAAAGTCAAATTACTTTAAGTACTCTAAGGAGTGAGGATTTTTTGGCTTCCATAAGGAGCTTGAAGAAGCACCAAATCTTTTTAACATTCCCGCATCTGTTTAACTATCCTGTTCTGTCTGAACATATATGCATATGAATAAAAAAGATGTAAAAAACAATATTAATATAAAAGAACATCAAATAAAATATTTGAAACAGCTCGCAGCAATATTGGACCAAGTTCGTTGCGCAAACGCCGTGATCGAGTAAGCGCTTTTCTTGCCACGTCTATTTCAAGGAATTACGTGTTAAACTATTCATATATATTAGATTAATTTATTTCAATGGGATTAATATTAGCCAAATTAATTCGTAATTGGTGGTATGGAAAAGGTGAGTCGCATTCTATTCCTTTCACTTTCATAATCCATCACTCATCGTTATAGAGTATAAAATCATTTTTGTTGGACTCAACAATGCGGGAAAAACAACGATATTATATCGTTTGTAAGCTTTCTTCTCATCACTTATTACATTTGTGGCTTTGTTCTAGAACGACAGGAGAAGTTGTCGGCACGAAGCCGACTATTGGAAGTAATGTTGAAGAGCTCAAATATCACAACCTTAGGCTAACAGTATGGGACATTGGTATTACTTACTAGAATTCCTATATAAACAGGTCATTATGTTGAGGTGGGCAAGATAGTTTGCGGAAGTCATGGTCTTCCTATTATGCTCAAACCGACTGTGTAGTTTTTGTGTTGGATTCAACAGACTGCTCAAGATTAGATGTCATTCAGGAACAGCTGAAAGATATCCTTCATCATCAAGTTTGATGCAACCAAAGACAATGCCATGATATATGTTTTCAGGACATAGGTAGTGCTCCTTTACTTTTTTTGGCAAACAAACAAGATCTTCCAACGGCATTGAGTGCTGGAGATCTTTCAACACAATTACAGTTAACCAACATCAAAGATAGAAAGTGGCAGATACATGGATGTTCAGCTTTAAAGGGTGATGGATTAGAAACAGCATTAGACTGGATTGTTAATAACATCACTTGATGAAAAGAAAAGTTAACGAGAAATTACATCATCATCATAATTTATACAGTTACTTGTCATGTTGTAAAATGAATGAAACTATACTATTCATATATCCTCACCTAGTATGTCTTTCAAAGCCAAAGCAAGTTCATCACAGAGACATATGCTCTTCTTGTTTTCATACGTCAATGAAAGAACTCCTTCCAGATTCCGCATTTCTGATAAACATTGCAGAAATCTTATTGTACTACATTATAGAGCCACTGGGAAGTTTCGCTTCTATACGAAACTGTCCAAAACAATATTTCACTTGCACTACCACAGCAGTTTGCAATTGATAATGGAGGAAATCAATTGAATCTTCATCTTCTTAACCTTGAGACTGTAACGTTCAAACTGTAAAAGGTGTTGGTCAGGCGGCATTCAGGCGCAACTCAAATTTCCAATGGTTTCAGAGCAGAAAAAAAAAGAACGAGAACTGATGTAGCAGTGCTATGACAATAAACTGACACGAACAGAGCCGACAACTTGGTGTAGGGTAGAGAATGAAAATATGAATGAAAAAAATTTTCGACATTGTTGTTACGAGTGAGCAGTTATCCAATGACCGCAAACTGACAGCAAAAAAAACAAAAATGATTTTTCAGCTTTGCTTCATTTGTAGTTGTAAGCTTAGTTGAGCGGTCGAACATGCACATGGAAATGATATGCATTATGCGCGGGAAAGAGCATTGGTCAGTCGATTCGAATAGTTTTATCATACTCTCACTCAGATGTCTATTGATTTGATGTATGAAGAAGACATGAGCAAAACATTTATTGAATCAAATTGGATTGTATTTACCATTTTACCAAATATTAAATGTAAACAAACTGGTTTGAACTATCATTCAGAGCCAATGCAATGAGTTCGCATAGTTTCTGGTGGAAACGAAGATATCGGAGTTTCAGGGCTTTTCTTTCAATTGTCATGACACTTCTAGCGAAGATAATTTCATTGAGGGAGGTCTTTGGAGCATGCGGAGAGTCGGATGAACGAAGAAGATTGAAACGAAACTGTGGGTTTAAATTTCATTTGAGTTCAACCGTGAATTTCGCTCAGAACGACAAACACACGGAAAGTGTGGAACGACTTGTATATGATGCTCCGCTGTCATAAATTCGATGATCTCCTAAGCAGCCTTACTTCTATACAAATATGGAAACCATAATAAAACGGAGGGAGAACCTCTTATGGTTAGCAACCCTCCAGCTGCATTCATAGAGCTCATGCATTGGAGTTTCAATTTTGGGAAAGACTCTCAAGTTTACTTAAAAACTGGAACGGAACTTTCATAACATTTCCCGTACAACTTTTTTGAATTTCTCGTGGTGATAACCGAACTTAACCATGTCTTCGCGTGTGTCTGAATGATCTCTGTTTGTTAACTCCGGAAGTGTTCCGGTTCTGACTAGGACCTCGAGGTGCGACAGCTATTACCCAAACAAATGACGAAGACAAGACAGAGCAAGGTTGAAGCTGCCACGAATCATTAGCTTGACTCCCTGTCTACCTGTCGACTGTTGAAGCCTACAGAAGAAAAGAAAAAGAGGAGGAGCAGCAGCAGCTGAAGAAAAGAGCTAGGACAGCGAGGCAGAATTCGTCAAAGAGAATAGAAAGGAAGGCAAGGGATAGTGTGTACCTAGTGAATTAGAAGTTCCTTTGTCGACGCCCCTGACTCAAACGATGGTGGAAGGAGCGCGTGTGCGGCTGGTGGAGTCCTTTGCAGGACAAAAAGGAGGGAGGAATGAGTTTCAAGCGAGGTTTGTCTGCCTGTAATCAAGATCAAACCTAAAGTCTACACACTTCCAGAGATTTTCAACGTCGAAGAAGCCAAGGAAGCGATGAAGTTGTTCTTAATTTCGTGACGGATGATCGTGTGCATCAGGTAAGAGATCCAGTTTTTATTTCAAACATCTTCACACGCACGGAGCTTCGAGCTGTGACGTCTTATACGTTGAGACAGCTTTTTTTAAAAGGTTGTTCTCTTTACCTAAGGCAAGAAAAGAAATTTTGAGATGTTTTGAAGTTATTAAATGGGGGGATCGAAGAGGTTGAATGTGTGACAGAGCAAGAGGAGGATATTCCTCTTGAAACTGTGTACATAAGGATGTTGGCTTACTATCAAATGGCATAAATTGCTCTCTAACTCTTGTTTGTTTCACTTTTTTTTCCTCTTTATTATGTTTCCTTCACTATTAAGTAGAAGCAGATGACTTTCTCACAATCTTTGTCATTGTTAATCTGTGGAGAAACTGCCTGAGTTGGACTTGAGCAAACATATATTTGTCGCCAAAATACCGCCAATTGCGATAGAATGCGATTTCTTTTGTTGTCAAAACAAATCTGAAGGTGTGTGATAACCTGAATGAAATTACAGATGACCTCTATCCCTTCCCTCTCTCATTGTCTGTCTTCTTCTCTCTTCCCCAATCTCTTCTTCTCATAACCATGACGTCACGTATGACATTGCTCATTTGCATCTAACCATATACATGTTGTCGTTCATAAACTTCTCTTCATCACTCTACAAGCATTCTAAACTTATTTTTTAAGAAAGTTTGTTGAAACATGAAGAAAAAAAGTTTTTAAATGAGGTGTTTGTATAGAAAATCGAAGACACTCACTCGTTTCTAAGCAGTTTGTCTTATATAGTCTCAGTCTTCCCTCGTCGTTATCCCGTAGCTCCTATTTGCTTGGCAAGATCGATTGGCCGTGTGCTAGCTGTTGTGGACTATGGCAAGCGATGGCAAAATAGGGCAAAAAGGGAAAAGACTAAGGGTTTTCTCGTTTGATCAATTGGTTTTTTTCTTTTTTACTATTCCGGAAGCTTTATTCTAACACCGTTTTGCTGCTGTTGTTGTTCTCTTCATTTCCGTTTTTAAGCAACAAGAGATTAGAGCAAGCGTGCTCATCTCCGAGCTTTTTTTGTTAATTTGAAGCGTCTTCTCGGTTTATTAGCTATTCCTCTTACCTTCATGATAGTCTGTGCGCTCTGCTGTTCATTACATATCTTTGTTACTTCTGATCAAGGTATTTCTGCTCATCCTCAGTCAGTTAGCGCCAAGCGTCCTATCTAGTTTGTGATAGAGAGAGCTTTCTATTAGAAGAGGATTCTATCTCTCTCTTCCTACTTCTTTTGTGATCTCTCGATGTTTCTCTGTGATCGACAACATTTTTGCCGCTCCTCCAGTTCTTCTGTTGGATTAGTCTGGAGAGCATGGAACCTGCACTCAAGCTCCTTCTTTTTCCATCACGCCGCCCTCATTTTCTTCCCATCCTCATCATCATTTTAACGTCCTTTCCTGATTCTCATGATTAATTCTTATAATCCAAGTTGTTTCACCTGTACAAACATATTTTCCAAATAACCAAATTGTCTTTTGTATTTTATACTTTCGCTATGTTTTTCCAAAAATTCGTAAGTTCTTAATCAAATTCTATAAATTCCTTACCACCTCAATGCTTATACTAAAATTCTTCTTTACAGGAACGTGAGTATTCTTCCTCTCAGCATCAAGAACATTACGAAGAAGAGGAAGACAACTACATTGAAGAGAGAGAGGAACGCGCATACAGAAGCAGTTACGGAGGAGCTCGTGGTGCTCAATATTCTTCAAATAATTGTTGGTTTCATTCGATCTTTCATTCATTCTCATTCTGATCCAGCTTACAAACAACAACAACAGCAACAACTGAGACACAACGAAATGGCTGTTGATTATTCTTCGCAAGACTTTAGACAGTCTCTCGCTGCTATCGATGCTGCTGCTCGAGATGGAGCTACTTCCAGAGGAGAAAATGTTAGGATTCGACAGCACGGTGATACAACCATCATGACTGAGCATCGTGATCCTTACTCTTTCTACTGGCAACTTGACCAGGTTTGTAATCTGTTTTGTTAGTTATTCCTCACGCTTCTTCTCAGAACCGTCGAGAGTCTGATTCTCCTCCAAGACGTCCACCACCAACTGATTATGTGATTGATGAAGAAGAGGTTGTTTTCATCTTATTTTTTGAGTTCTTCATGGATATGATAGGTTGTTGACACTGTTCTTTCTCCCGAATCTGGTGACTCCGGAATTGTTTTTGAAAGTCAATACAGTCGACCTCAGAGAACTCATCCACTTCCCCCTCCACCACTTCCCCTTGAAGAAGATAAAGATCTTCCTCCTGGTTGGGAGAAACATCAAGGTAATCCCTCTACTCTGATTCATGATTGTACTATTTCTTTTGCAGACCCTACTGGTTTCTCGTACTATTGGCACGTAGACAGTGGAACTATTCAGAGAGAGCCTCCCGTAAGTTATTTTCTTTCTAATCCGCATGCCACTCGATATTACTAATTATCATAACATTCAATTATGTTGTCCATTTGAACTAACCTGAGTGTTCTAGCGGGCAGCAACTCCACCACGTAGTCCCTCACCTCCTCCTGCCCCAATATACAAAAAAGCAGTATATGTAAGTAGATTGTCACCTGAACCTTTGTTTTCGAGCTATTTACGAAACATACCACGATGATAAGTAATTGCTTACAAATTTCAGACTCAATCCACTCAAGCTGACGCTCCTGAACCTCCACCACAAGTCATTCAGCTACCTCCTCAACAGGTAATCGTTCCTTCTGAGAAAGTAATCATGTTTGTACTATAGCCTGTCATCGAAGAACACGCTTTCAAGCAAACAACAACCAAAAGAAGAATTGAGAATGAGGAAGAGAGCGATGGCGAAGTTGAATTCGGTTTTGGAAAGGTTAGAGACTGTCTTGTTACTCTGTACATCATCAAACTTTAGCCTGTTCGTTTCGCTGTACGCTCTTTAGGATGGACTGAGATCAGTGAGGAAGATCTAACGGCCGAAAGAAGTTCAAGAGCTGTTAACAGGTAGTTCTTTGTACTCTATTAGTTCACTAACTAAGATGTTAAGAGCTATTGTTGACTTGTCGACTGGAAGAAATGACCTGATGGACAACGTTAGCAAATGGGGCGATGTAAGTCACTATGCATTTACTTGACTAACTTCAATGATCTAGGGAAGAGAGCTCATCATGGAACTAGATGATAATGAGCTTTCATTGATTGATCCCGACACAATGACAGTCATCCACTCCGAGAGAATCCAACAGATTCGTGTCTGGGGTGTCGGTAGAGATAATGGAAGGTAAGCATTTTAAAATTATTTCTCTTAATGCTTTTTCTTTTGCTCGTATCATTTAAGGGATAGGTGAGTTCGTTGTTGTGACGTTCTTAGAAAGTTTTAGACTTTGTTATTGTTTTCTCGTCATATAAGCTTCTGTTCCAGAGACTTTGCCTATGTTGCAAGAGACAGAGGATCTCGAAGATTTATGTGCCATGTATTCCGTTGTGATACTCCCGCCAAAACAATAGCCAATGCTTTGAGGTTTTTTCAATCTGATTAAGTTGGCATATCGAATCATTCAGAGATATTTGTAAACGACTGATGGTGCATAGACGTCCCAGTTCTCTTGCTCCTTCTGAGGTTCCAGAAAGAAGAATTGTTCGAGGTTTACTTGCTATCTCATCCATCTTTATATTTTATTGGGTTTCCAGCTTCTGAAGGAGTTGTAGCTAACGACGAGCCAAAGAAAGTTATCCGTTGTCATTTCTTAGGAGTTACTCAAGTGCCAAAGGCTACCGGAATAGAAATTCTTAACGAAGCCGTGGACCGCCTTGTTTCTCAAGTTCGTCCTGAACGTTGGATTCTTTCGGATGTAGCCATTGCTCCATCTACCATTTCTATTAATGAAGTTAATGGAAGTCAAATTGCTCAATGTCGAGTGAGATATCTTTCCTTCTTGGGTATTGGCCGCGACATAAAGTAAGCGTTTTTTTAAACTATTTTTCTTGAAGCTAAGTTTTCAGACACTGTGCTTTCATCATGCATACTTCCTCTGAGAATTATATGTGTTATGTTTTCCATGTCGAGCCATCAGCTGCCAGTATGGCTAAAACCATAGAAGCAGCTTGTAAATTGCGTTATCAAAAAGTGCTTGATGCTCATGCTGGACGAAGCCATCCTCCATCGATAATGGGCAAGGTTTTCTCTTTTAACCCCTATCATTAAAAATAACTCTTCAAAACAACTAACACAAACATATTTTCTGTCACAGCCAAATGTGACTGTCTATGAACCTACTGAAAAATATATTTTAGGGATGGACTGAATCAATACGTGATGCTTTCGGGTCAGTTACTCAAAAGCTAACTTCATCCAGGTCGTTGTATAATTTCTGAGAAATAAAGTTGGAAACTGTCAGTTCGATGATGAAATACTGATTTGTATCATATTTGGAAATTATTTTATGCTAATGCCTTATATTCATTGCTGCTCATGATTCTTAAAAATTGTAGATTATCGGAGTTTTATGTTTGAGTACCATTTAGAGTTTGACGTGCTTTTGCAATAAATGTTTTTCACGTTAACACATTGTTCTAAATCAGATGTACAATACTTTCATACAATTCAAAATATAATAAGAAGATGTACTCGAAACGCTTTTTCTCAAAACATACATGAGCTTGAAGCATGTTCAAGAAATCCTTGGTGTGGAAGCTGACGCAATATGCGTGCTCTGTTAATCTTTAGCGTGAACCGTGTTCGGCTTGCGCTTCTTTGGTTTTTTGTGGAACAGCTGTTCACCTGCAAGGAGCACAATGTACGGAATGTCTGCTCCTTACGGTCATCCATCAAATAATGCGAACAGAGTAAGTACTTCTGATTTCTTTTCGAAATTTTGAATAATTCTGAACTGTGCTTTGCTTCATAAATATAATTCAGCAGGGTTTAGGTCAACAAGGAATGTCACAGGATGCGCCTCAACAAGGAGTTCCAATGCAAATGCAAATGCATTATCAACACCCACATCAGCAGCACATGGGGATGGGACAACCAGCCCCACAATTGCCCAATGTTAATCAACCAATGTCCAGAATGAATCAACCTCAAGGTATTTCTTTCTTTGTATTAGCTTGAATTTTGTTTTCTAGGTAATCTGAATATGCAACCTCAAATGGGTGGACCACAATCCCAAATGGGGCCACATGGACAGCAATCCCAAATGGTAGGACCTCATGGACAGCAACCCCAAATGGTTGGAGCTCATGGACAGCCACCGCAAATGGGAGGTCCTCATAATCAGCAGCCTCAGATGGGAGGGCCTCATGGTCAGCAGTCTCAAATGGGTGGATCTCATGGACCACAACCTCACATGGGCGGAAGCCATCCACAGCAATCTCAAATGGGTGGACTTCATGGGCAGCAATCTCAGATGGGAGGACCTCAGGGACAACAGTCTCAAATGGGTGGGCCTCATTCCCAGCAGTCTCAGATAGGTGGACCTCATGGTCAGCAGTCTCAAATGGGGGGATCTCATGGAGCACAACCTCACATGGGCGGAAATCATCCACAGCAGTCTCAAATGGGTGGACTTCATGGACAGCAATCCCAGATGGGAGGACCTCAGGGACAACAGTCTCAAATGGGTGGGCCGCATACACAGCAAGGTCCTATGAGTGGAAGTCATCCACAACAATCTCAAATGGGAGGACCACATCCTCAGCTTTCTCAAATGGGAGTTCCACATTCTCAACAGTCTCAGATGAGTGGTTCTCATCCTCAACAAAGTCAGATGGGAGGACAACATAACCAACCACCACAAATGGGAGGCCCACATGGGAACTCTATGATGTATTATCCAGGGAATGCCATGCAAGGTGGGCCTTCCACAGTTTCAAACCAAGGAGGTCCAGGTCAGAATAGTTCCTTGTCCATGCAGGGCCAAGGAGGGCCAATGCATATGCAGGGGCAAGGTGGTTCGTTAGGCCACCAGAGCCAAGGAGGTTCTATGTCCCATCAAAATCAGGGTGCTCCTTTAGGAATGCAACAAGGGGGTCCTATGTCTCATTCGCAGAGTAACATCGTTGGTTAGTGCGATCTTTAATATAACGCATATTTATGAAAATATTTCAGGTGTACAGTCGAGTCAACAATCATCAGGTGGAACAATGCCTATTTCGAATCAAGGAGGATCTATGTCTGCACAGAATCAGGCAGGATCTTTGCATATGCAAAGTCAAGGAGGTTCAATGTTTCTTCAGAACCAAGGGGGACCCATGTCGATGTCAAGTCAAGGAGGGCCCATGTCTGTACAAAATCAAGGAGGTCCCATGTCAGTTCAAAATTCTAGCGGGCCCATGTCAATGCAAAATCAGGCAGGATCTATGCATATGCAAAATCAAGCAGGTCATATGTCAATTCAGAATCAAGGGGGTCCTATGTCTATGCAGAGCCAAGGAGGTCCAATGTCAATGCAGAGTCAAGGAGGGCCTATGTCCATGCAGGGCCAGGGAAGGCCTATGCCGGGCCAGGGAGGTCCTATGTCAGTTCAGAATCAGCCAGGACCTATGCATATGCAAGGGCAAGGAGGACCAATGTCTGTTCAAAGTCAGGGGGGACCTATGTCTGTACCTCAACAAGGTCCGTTATCACAAGGGGGGCCTATGTCTATTCAAAATCAAGGAACTCCATTATCCATGCAACAAGGAGGACCTATGTCCGTACAACAAGGAAGTTTAGGAGGTAAGATTTCGAGTTTCACCGGTCATAGTGAGTTTCCCATGTATAGGGTCACAATCCAATCAACAACAACCCTCCACTGGCCCATTGTCCATTCCAACTCAAGGAGGACCCATGTCTGTTCAAAATCAACCGGGTAATCTGCATATGCAGAACCAAGGAGGCCCTATGTCCATATCTAACCAAGGAGGGCCAATGTCAGTTCAAAACCAAGGAGGTCCTATGTCCGTGCAAAATCAAGGCGGACCTATGTCTGTACAAAACCAAGTATATTGCTTGCTCATTGATTGCAGTTATCTATAAAATTTAAGAATCAAGGAGGACCAATGTCAGTTCAGAACCAGGGTGGTCCTATGTCAGTTCCTCAGCAAGGACCTCTATCTGTACCTCAAGGTGGACCATTGTCTATCCCTAATCAAGGAACTCCGTTGTCCATGCAACAGGGTGGACCTATGTCTGTACAACAAGGAAGTCATGGAGGTTTGTTAGACAATGCCTCTTTCTAATATGACAAGCATGCAGGACCTCAATCAAACCAACCACAATCAACAGGGGGACCCATGTCGGTGCAACCGGTAACTCCTCATAATCCACCTAGTCAATCTTCAGGTCAAATGATGCAAGCCGGACAAGGCCCTCAAGTGCTTTTTTTTCTATTTTTTCCGGTTCCAAAAAAAATATTTCAGCCTCCACCTCCTCTTTCGGCAACCCTCCCTCTCGCAGCAGATCCTCTATATCTTTCCAAAAATCTCATACTAAAAGATCTCCGTCATGCTATTCTTGTAAGCAGTTCTCTTAAGTCCCCCCGTCATTCGACTCCTTTTTAGACTTTAAATACTTGTGCTGGTGCAACTCTCCGTGAAAGGAAAACTGGGGATGTAGATTTAAATACTGCCCATAAGTATCGCAAAGCTATGGATACATTCCAAGCTGTGTGTGATGATATCGAAATGAACTTGGTATTGAGCCGCTACTGTAGCGTTTAACCCTCCATTTTTAGAATCTTGTTCACGAAACTCAAAAGCAACTCGTGAAATTTGACAAAATTTTTGATAAGCCACCCAGTGATCCTCCACGAGCTGGTCAAACAGATTATGTACAACATAGTACTAGTGTAACGAACTATATTGAACAAACGAAAAATGTTGTGTTCCATAGTTATGATATGTTTTATCAAAACTTTTTCAGACCCAAAGGACGTTTGACCGAGCTCTTGAGCACATGAACAGAACACGGGATTTACTGAAAAAACGGGAAACAGCCACATTAGACCATTCCGAAAAAATGGAAATGTGAACTTTTCCATTCTAATCTTTATTTTTATCGTAATTTCCATATTAACATATAAAGCTGAGTTCAAAACCCGTTTCATTTATTTATACATGACTAGTTAGCTGAGCCACTCGCTATCCACTGCGATATCTTCTGTGATATGTCGAATCATACGAGAGGACCCGAAGAAATCAGTAGCTCGTACCCTCTTAGTATCTTTAGGATATGTTTCTGTTTTAACACCTGAAACAAGATATATCTCTAGAGCTATTGTAAAATCCTTCTCACCGACAGTACTTAAGCAATCTTTCGGTGGACAAGAGTCTAGATAGTCTTGTAGCGTTGCTGTAGAGTTGACACTTTGTGCCTTCTTCTTGAGGAAGTCAATGGTGAAATGCGTATACCTGAAACATATGAATGATTGTCCTGAATTTGAGCTTGTTCTCACCTATCAATAACATAAACACCTATTTCGGGATCTACATCATAAGAATAACTTTCTTCATGAGTCAAACTACTACTGGTTGATAGGACATTCGGAGAGTTCACCCATTCATACATTGAAGCACTTCGACACGTGTCCGCAATGAGTAAGAGCTCGTGGTATCTTCAAGAAAAATCATGAGAAAGCAATAAAAATCTACTCACCTGTTATCCTCAAACATTGTTTGTATGGCGTAAGCCAGTTCAACATTGGTCAACTCTTCTGCATCTTGGAATTTCAAAAAACTGTCTCCTCCATGACCAGTTAAGTAAACCTTCATTGTTAAATGTTTCACAATCTATGTTCTTTCAGCTTACCAGAACATTACTCTGATGATCTGTTAGTAATCGCTTATTCCTTGGAGTAGAAGCATAGTGTCTTCCTGTTAACACACGGATGAAGTTCTCTACCTAAGACATTTGAGATAAGACGGTTGCAGAAGAGAGTGGACTGACCGTTACATCTTCCCCTCTGTAATCAACTTGCACGTCACCACCGTACAAGTTATTTCCAGCACGAGCTGCATAAACCGTTCCTGAAAATTTCATTTTCATGATAAATCAAACTGTGAACGGTTGTGCATGAGTAAGCAATCAATATGGTGAAGACATACCTGGTCTAGGATTGCGAGGATTGCAAGGAACATCTTCGGCCAGCATCAATATGATGTTGCTATAATTAAATAGATACTGATAGCCAAGTTCCGGTTATGCATGTACCTGTCCGGGATGCCTAACCGTTTCACTGTATGATACAATGCTAATACATTAGAGACATGACGGTAGTTAAACCAAAATCTATAAGCAGTTGTCAGGCCAATTGTGTTATCTATTGTACCTTGATGTACACACTAAGATAGCCCAATTATTAGTATGGCCTGGAGTATCGAAGAGTTCTTCTATCCTCAATTGTACTCCCGTATTAAGTATGCTAAGGCCGGAATGAAATAATATTGAGAAAAACACAACCACAAACACCGGTTTCATCTGAATTATGTTTTTTCTGATGTTAGAGTTCACTTGATTGCAATATGTTAGGTTGAGATAACCTAGTTCGAACTTAAAAAATGAGATATAAGAGTCCGAAAATTTTATTCGCAAGTTATAACACTCAGAAAATAAGAAAACAGGATGAGAAGAGATCAGAGTCTCGATACTCGAATAACTCAACAACTTGATTAACTTGTGAACGAAACAACCTCTTAGTTATTTTGTGTCTGAAAAGAAATAAATCAATGGATGAAGGCAGAAAGCAACGTACGGAATGAATGAGCGTTATGTTATCTCCTTTCAGAAGGATACGTCCTAGTTTCTTAGAGTTCTTAGTCTTCAAGTTCAACTCTTCGGCCTCATCAAGAACGATGTTCATGTATTCATCGAAGCCTAAGTTACTAACGGTACAACTAAAACAACTCTAATTCGAACCCATGATGTATCCTTCGATACGATGGTTGACATCCTCATAAAGCCAGATCATGACTCTGGTTCTGTTTTGGAGATATCTACAACACAAATATACAAATTGTATCCGAATATCCATCCAGAGCTCACCTGAAGATCAGATTAATGGGTTGAACCATCACCTTCTGCATTTTTCTGTTGGACGCCGACATGATTGTCTCTGAAAATTGTCATAAATAAGATTTAAGCGGAGAAAACTTATTCACAAAACAATGAAAAATCAACTTCTGATGAGAGAAAATTGAATGACACAAAAGTGAATATAAAAAAAATGGTTTATATACGAAAACTCAAAGAAACGCCATCAATAATTTCAACGAATTTGAAATTTCGTTTTTTCTCTTAACGCAAAGCCGGTGGTTGACGCATTTGCTGCGCAAGCGTTCTGGTTGGCGTCTTTTTCAAACAAGCGTTCAGCTTGCATTTATCTGGCATACGATTAGTTTATCTATTTCATATCCGTTTTATTGGTTATCGTTAAGTTATTAAAAGCTAATAGTTTTTTTGAAGTGCAATGTTCGGCATGGGAACTCCATATCGCCATCCGGCAAATAATGCCAGCAGAGTGAGGAAACATAAGTCTTAGTTTTGAATATCTCTTCCGTTCAGATGAGCACCGACTTCACTATGAAGGCTCCGAAGCCCCCAGATCGTCCTTTAGTTCCATATATGAGATACAGTCGCAAAATGTGGCAAAAAGTTAGTTTCAGAATCTTATGTAACTGATAGGGCGTTCGTAGGTGAGAGCGGAAAACCCCGAAGCGCAATTATGGGACATAGGTAAAATTATTGGTCAGTTATGGAGAGATGCTTCTGATACGGAGAAACAGGTTTATCAACAGGAGTTTGAAATGGAAAAGGTTGGTTTACCTTCTTTGTATGAGTAATGGAGAAACTTGTAATTAGGCTGAATACGAGAAGGCAATGAAAAGTTACCACAGCTCTCAAGCTTATCAGCATTATGTGAACGCCAAGAATCGTGCTAAGACTAATGAGAAAGTGTCAAGAGGACGAGCAGACATGGGTGGTGTAGTTATTCAACCTGTCGATGAAGAAGATGTCGCCAATGATTTGACAAGTAGGAGATTAGCCGCAGTAAGGTGAAGTGTTCAATCATTTTCTCTTCTAACTATGGTGTCGTTTAGATTTGATCGTAACCATAGATTGATCAGCGAAGTCTTCTCCCCCGTTATTGTCAATGATGCACGTACTGTAAGTTTTTTTCATAGTCTTCGTCGCCTTATTCTTATTTTAAATAGATCGTGGCTCAGACACGAATTGATATGCTTCGCAATCAGGCAAAGTCCTTATCTAATCATCAAGGAAAATTGGAAGAAGAGCTTGCAAAGTGTGTTTTTTATTTGTTACATTGTGTTTGTTTTCTTGAACGCAATATTAGTTTCCTCATTACAGATTGGAAGCAGATTATAACGATAGAAAACGAATCATCTCAAAGAATAGTGAAGATTTTGTTGAGAATCTGAAAAAGGTCTGTGAAGAGAAGCCGAAGCTGGATGAGGATAAGTTCAATGAGCTCATCAATGATTGGACTGGAAAACTTCTTGAAGCTTACGAAGATTACAAGAAGAAGCAAGAGGAAATCAGTGCCAAACAAGGTTGGTGTTTGTTCATTACTTTTTTTCATTTAAAGTAATTTAGCAGCTGAACGTGAGAAAATGGAAAAAGAAACTCCTGTCCTCGCTGGACTTGTCATGAGGGATGATGAAGAGGAGAAGTCAGACGACAAATCCGAGAAATCGGAGAAATCTGAAAACCCTGAAAAATCTGCTGCTAAGGAAGACGAACCCATGGAGCAAGACAACTCTACAGATTCCCCAGCTAAGAGCAGCCCCGAAGAGGATCAAAAAGTATCATCCAGTACAGATGAAGCCAAAAAAGAGGAAGCAGAAGAATCGAAACAGAAGGCCACCCCAGAATCAACTGAAAAATCTTCCGAGAAGAGTAATTCAGAGGCTCCTGCTGAAGATAACACAATGGAAGTTGATACTCCACCTACAGAAGCCCCCGACTCATCTGAAGCTCAGAAAGAGGCTGACGCTTCTGCCGAACCTTCGAACTCATCTCCAGAGCCAACCGCCTCTGTTGAAACTACAGAATCAAAAGTAACTAATGAAACTAACGAAACTAAGCCCGTTGAAGATGTAGAAAAAACAAAGGAAACGAAGGAGGTTTCTGAGACTAAATCACCTGAGGAGTCTGCTGCACCAGCAGTCGCGGAGGAATCTTCTGAACCAGCAGTCGTGGAGGAAAAAGCTAAACCTGATTCCGAAGCAAAAACTGAGGACACTAAGAATGAGAGCCCTGAGAGCACTGATGATGCCAAGAACAAATCCACAGAAGCGTCACCTAAAACTGTAAGTACGGAGGAAAAACAGAGTGAAAAGGAAGCTGTTGTGGAAGAAAAGACTGAAGAAAAGGTTACTGAAGAAAAGGTTTCCGAAGAACAGCCTCCAGCAGAGAAATCTCCAGAAGAAAAAGCATCGGTGGAAACTCCTTCAAAAGACAGTCCCGTCGAGGAAGCTGCTGTTGAAGAAAAGAAAGAGGAAGAACAAAAGGCGCCCGTAGAAGAAGTAGCGGAGAAGAAAGAGAACTCCAAAGTAGAAGAACAAGAGGAAGAAGGTGAAGCAAAAGAGAAGGAAGAAGAAGCTAAGGAGAGCAGCTCACCGAAGGAATCCGTAGAGGAGAAGTCTTAATTCTAGTTTGAGCTTTACTTTGCCAGTTACCGTGTATCGTACTATGCATCTTCCACAAACAATCTCCTATTTCGGTTGTAACCTCTTAATCATTAATTCTTATTATCTCATAATTATTGCATCTTGTTTATAAACTGTTCATATCGTGTTTTCTTTCATTTCTCTTTTGATACGGAAGGCTTTTTGATGCTTTCGGGAGATGTCAAAGAAGAAGTCGAAGTGATTGCTTTATGCAGTTCATTCAGCTTATCAACAATCTTTATAAAGATAGTATTTTCCAACACTTGAGGCCATTCCCCGTATCCTGATAGGTTCTACTATCCATATTTAGCACGTCAGAGAAGCTGTTAAAATTTTCCATCAGCTGATGATAAATGATCCGTTTCGTCCCCTATAAATAATAACTTATCAAAGAAATTTGATCATTTAATCTTCCACTCATCTCTCTTCCACTGTTTCTTCTGTTTCCTATTATTTAGATCATATCCATCAACTTTAAACTGCTGGCCGTGGGTGCTGATGTTTAAAAAACGAATTTCATTCTGACACATTTTGATTTCGCGCGATGTTGGCTGTACTTTTTGGACGTTGTTGTTGTGACTCAGAATAATACTGAATGCTCTGTTATCCTCTTTCAATTGGTTTGATCACCTTCCCATATCTCAGAAATCTTGAGCAGAAATAGTTCGTACTGTAAAAATGAGAAGCCTTAATTCAACTGATTTTTCAAAGTTGAAGGTCTGTGAGAAGTCGGTCTCGCACAGACTCTAGCAGTCGAGAGTTGTATTTCAAATTCGAAGAAGTTCGAGCTTTGGTTAACTTCTCCATTGAGAATAGCAAAGCGAATCCGCCATTGTTTTCGAAGCTTCCAAGATAGCGAACAATTCGATTGATCTTTGGCGTTACTTTTTCTTTCTCGAACTGGCTTTGACAAAGCTTTACTGTGGTTCATTACGGTAGGAGTTTCTGCTCCGGCAACTCCTATCTTTTCCTTGAAAAGCTTCCTAGTAGATTTTTTATATTGCAGCTTGCTATGTCGATAAGCCACTCCGCCGTCATGTCCTCCTCCCACGAAGAAAAGGAGCGTTTAAGAAAGTTTTTGACAGAACATGCTAATGAGAAAATTGCATTCATTACGGTAACATAAGTTTCTCTCACTTCACTAGCAACCCGTTCAGAGTGGAGGCACAAGAGTTCCTTTAGAAAAAAATGCTGTACGTTTTATTGATAATTTTTCCATGGGTAATCGAGGAGCAGCAAGTGCTGAGTTGATTTGCAAAGTAAAATAACAATTTATGTTGAACTTTAAGATATTTCCTTGAAGCTGGATATGCTGTGATTTTTGTGTACAGAGAAGAATCCTTACAACCTTTTTCCCGGAAGTTCCATGCTGTGTTTGAAAATTTGAAAGTAGAAAATAATAGGGTTCGTAAATGTGAAATCATTTTCCTGTTCAGACATCATTTACAGGTAGTCAGTGATCTCCCTGGTCTTTCATCTGCTGTTGCAGCGAATTGCAAATATTCCTCAAAGATCATAAAAATACCTTTCCAAACTCTCCAGCAGTATCTACATTTGTTAGAAACAGTAAGAAACGCAAGTTGTTCTTCATAATCAGGCTCTTCGAGGTGAGTGAAGAACTAGCTCCTTATGGATCGAGCGTTATGCTCTATTTGGCAGCAGCTGTCTCCGATTTCTACGTAACTAGCGAGAAGATGGTAGACATCTAATGAAATGAGTATGTCGAAATGATTTTGTAATTTCAGCCGACACATAAGATTCAATCGAAAGAAGGTGACCTCAATCTCACATTGAGTATAGTTCCTAAGAAGTTGGATCGTGTTGTTCAACAGCTTGTTCCAAATGCTTTTGTCGTATCATTCAAAGTATTATCACAGTTTTTTATTATTTTTCCAAGACTGATTGCAGCTAGAGACTGATCCTGCTATACTTATTGATAAAGCACGAGGAGCTTTGGACAAATATGGTCATCAACTGGTGAGTGATTCCGGTTTGAGATTATTTGTGTCAATAAGCTTCTCCTTTAGGTTATCGCTAACATGTTAGAGACACGAAAGACTGAAGTCACATTAGTAGATAAGGAATTGGCTATCCCTCTCCGTCTTTCAGAAGTATGTTTGTGTTAACTACAATGAACTTCCAAGTCTCATTCCAGCATGATGTTCGAGTCAATGGAATGGAAATTGAGAAATTGATAGTAGAGAAACTTCACGAACTTCATTGTGATTTTGTGAAAACAAAAAATTAATACTTCATTACTTACAATTGTAAAGCTTAATTACATCGCAAAATTCAGTTGATCATTGTATCACAAGGAAAAAAAAGTTTAAAAAAGCATATGGAACATTGGAAGCGCGATAGGGAGGAGAGTAATAAGTTATTCGGACATACGGTTCTCTTAGTGAGCAGCAGCCATGTTGTTCTGGAAAAAGATGATCTCAATGGTTTCGAACTTTATACGATTCACTAAATCACTCTCGTGCTTTGTTAATTCGAATCAAACACTCTGATTATTTGAAATCAATGCAAAACGTTTCACAACTCAATACCTACCCGCACAAACTCTATTGTATCCTTTAAAATTTAAGATGAAATTTCAGAAAATAGGAATCAGAAAAAGAAAATACCTTCAAATCCCAAAGAGCAATGAGACCATCTGTTGCGCAAGTTGTAAACTTAAGCACATTCGAAGGGTTTCCGGAATGAAGAAGAATCTGACAAATCATGTTTTGATGTAGAGTTTTCAGCTGAACATCAACTTTATCGGAACTCGCATTTCTATAAACGGTTTCTCTGAGTCAGTAGTTCAGAAAGTTGGCAAACCTATCAATGTTTTTGAACATTTGAAGAGCACTGCTCACAGTGGAAGCTTTCTTTTCACTTGGGACATCCAGCTTACAGACTTCTTTCAGTGTATTGTTCGATGTTGTGTACAAGATAGGAGAACAATCATGGCCCTTAAACTTTCTATTAAAAAGTTCTTTGGTGAGAATACTTACTGCGGCCACTAAACTATTTTCAGTTACCCAAAAGACAGAAGTGAATGGAAGATGAGCTGTACGTAAGGGACGAGCAACGACACTGTCCTAAATAAGAAGAACAAACAATAGGGACAAGTGTGGGGTTAACTGAACCTGATTTGCATCAACGAAAGTAATAGAAGAGTCGTGTCCTACCCAAGCTAGACGACAACCAGAAGCAGAGAAAGCAACATTGTGTACCTGAATATGCGATATTTAAATTACGCGACTTCAAAGCAATGCCTACCCATCCACCACACGAGTACTCAACCATCAGTTGTCCAAAAGGCATCTTTGATCCCCAAGGATTTGGAGCTGGCTTCTCATCAACTTCTTTTATCCAAGCAGAAAAAACTCTGGTCTTGAAATCACAAGCACCAACAGCTAATAAAACGTTATTAGGGTGCCAATCAATACATAACACTGTCGATCTGATGGATTTCTTGATTTGTTTCGATACCCACCTTAAATGGAAAGAAATGATGGTGAAGACAATCTCGAAAAACTTACCAGTCATTCTCTTTTTCATAATAACAAATTGAAACAAGTTTTGATCCGCTTCCTACGGCAAATTTATTTTCTAATGGTGACCACTTCACGCAAGTTGCAGCTCTTTGGAATCTAACCTGCAAAGAGGAAGCATCTACACTTTCTACAGATTCACAAGACTTACTAATACAAGCTCTGGCTTCCAGTGTCCCTTGTCGAATGTCCAAACAAAAGCATTTTTATCTTGCGAGCAGGATACAATTCTGTTAGTATTTGGTGCCCAATCCAATCCTTCATTGAATATTATGTATATTAAACTCTAATTATTCTAAAAGCTCACCTGTTACAGGTAAATCATGTTCAGTGAGTGTGTGAATGTTGACCCAATCACCATTTTTCCATTCAAAAATGTAGAACTCACTGCTTGAAGCGGACACGGCAATTTCTAATAACAAAACTAATACAAAATCTAATGAAATAAGCACTCACGAGTTCTATCCTTGTTCCATGCATGGCATGTTATTGGTCCGATTCCTAGATTCCAGTGTTGAACAGGGGATCCAGCCATAGCGTCACTGTATTTACAAAACTGTGAGGGTTAGAAAGTAAGTCAGAAACGAAACAGGAAACTGCTAGCAAAAAACAGCTTAACTCCTATTTAAAAGTCTCAAATCTTTAAGAAAAGCAAGAAAAACATTGTAAGCAACATTGTAATTGCTGTGTTGACATATAGTATCTTGACTAATATGCCGCAACGGATTTGCTTGCTGGACGTTGTAAACAGCATACAACGTAAGGACGCTTTGTCGTTGTTTCGCTGGAGGTCCCATGGTATGAAAGAACCACAATTATGATATCAAGTGTACTGCTTAAAAGGTAATTTTTTTATGTTAATTACATTTCAAACTAATGCTCTAACTTCAACTTTGCTCATGTAATCCCAGCGTTTTGAGCTTTACTGTTTGAAACTCATTTTCTGATGTTCAAGAGTATTGTGCGTCGACTAATTAGCATATACACGTGGTTATCCCGAATGTGATATTCAAATTACTTTTCAGTTTGCAACAAAGCGTCCCCGTAGTTAGGCAGGTTGCTCCAGTTCGCCTCATCAGTAGTTCTTCTCCATTTTCGATCAAGAAGAGTTGGTTCTTGTCCCAGAATCACACTTTCATGCTCATTGCTTTTCAGTTGTTGAATCGACCAAGGACAATGTGACAGTAGTAGAAGTTGTCAAATCAGAGAAGGAGTCCACTCAAAACAATTTATTTACGAACCCTAATTTATGTTCTCTATGCACTTGTAATCTTCCCATTTCATTGAGCTATAGGTAGGCAGTTTTGATGACAATACCGAAACGCTTATCAATATTTTCAGTGATGTTCTTATTTTGGAGCAGTTCATGAGACCCGATGGTACCGTTTTGCCCAGGCAGTTAACTGGACTATGTAGGAAGCAGCAATTAAAACTAGAGAGGTTCGTCAATGTTATATTCTCAACGATAACTCAACGCTTTCCTTAGATGCGTCATGCAAGCACATTGGGCTGGGCTCTTCCCAGACAGAACCATACCCGAGTTTGACCGAGCTGGCTACAAAAGATTCAACAGGTTTGAAACATTTTTAGACATTAAGTTATTGATTTTCTCAGATATTGGAACAATGACATGGATATGTACCGTCTGAAGGAAAGAAAAGAACAAGGAACATGGTTCTATATAAAACGTTATCCGACCAAAAATCAGCCGGTAAAGAGGAGAAAGGTGCTTTAAGAGATTAAGAGTTCTGATTAGATTTGTTATTACTATTTGTTAGTTTTTGTATAAATACACATCTTCATGTTTTGGAAATGCTTCACTCGTTCTTATCGAGAACTTCGTACTTTTGTTTTTTTTTCCCGTATTTTTTTAAATGAGAAGCTTTTCAGGACTGTCTGACTATGTAAGCTAGTCCATTTCATTAAAGATGACTCAATTTCCTGATGTCATTAGCTTCGGTGCTTTGCTTTTTATATTATTTCATACATGTTATACACAAACCATAACTTTACCGTCTGATCCATGTCCATATGTGCAAGGGTGCTCTTGTGCCAACGAAGACACAACCCGCTTGAAATGTGTAAATATCGGTAAGCTTTGATTACCGGTTATTTGAGTGAAAAACTCATTGCAGGTCCTGAGATCTTATTATCTGTACAGGCACATTATCCAAAGTTGCGAGAATTGTCAGTTTTTAATTGGGACGGTCGATCACGTTACTTGAACTTGGATCTGTTCAACAACTTTATCGCACTGAAAAAGCTGTATTTGACAGGCGAGTGATGGACGACACTGATCTTCTTACATTTCTTTTCCAGATGGTCATATATCGAGAATTAGCGTGAACTCTACTTTAAAAAATTTGGAACACTTGGATTTATCTAACAACTGGGTCGAAAACTTCTATGAGGTGAGCATAAAAGTTCTGAGTCATTATCTTAATGATCAATGTTCAGTTTTGCTCATTCAACCATTTCTTACCATCTTTGGATAGCATAATACTCCGAAGTAATTATATTAAAATAGTCGATGCATGTGCCTCAAACTTACACATTAAAAAGCTTGATCTCTATAGGAATAAGGTAATGTTTTCTCAACATTTCTTTGATTTACGTCTGTTTTTAGCTTCATCTGATCAATACGACCTTCTCAAATGAGTTGGAGTATTTGGATTTGTCTTCTAACCGCCTTGCATCGCTTCGCAAGCTCCCTAAAAAGATCAAACATCTCAGTAAGTATATTCTATCGATGTCATCAAATTCTTAATTTCAAGATGTGTCCTCAAATCCGCTCACTGTGATTCACCTCTCACCTTTGCAAAATCTTGAGTTCCTTGACATGAGCCGAACATTAATTGTGGAGCTACCCGCTCTAGAAGCTCCATCTTTGGTTTCAGCATATGTTAACGATACCACTTTGGAGTTTGCTGATTTGAGCAAGTGGAGGACTCCTAAACTGAAAACGTATTTTCATCAAAATTGAGTTTTCCCTATTTATAACAATTCAGGATATCGTTCTCTCTTTCCCCTCTTTTAGTGGGTGTGGTTGGAACGCTACCTGATACAGTTATGGACTTCGCCGTTACATATTCCAAAGTCACTTCTTTTCCCACTTCATTTTTCTCGAGGTTTGTCCTTCAATTTTTAAGTGTATATAAATTTTTTTTTTTGCAGGACTAACATAAGACGCTTGAATGTTACTTCTAATAACTTTGACTGCGATCCGTGTGTAATGATATGGGCGGCGAAATTACGGAAACTTGTTAAAGATCAAATAACTTGCCAGATACCAATCAAGTAAAATAATTTATTCTAACCAGTTTATCGAATTCATATAGCTTCAAAAACTGTACTGTTGGTGTTTCAAAGACTCAGCCAATCATTGCTAGTGTGAAACACGGAAAGGTTGCATTCATTCCTTGTTCCACTTACGGGAACCCACCACCAACTGTGCAATGGTTTGTTATTCGGTTTTCGTGTAGTGACTTCTTTTTTTTCAGGTGGAAATACCGGCCGGACACTTATTTGGGAAGTTACAACCCCATCACTAAGGTTGTCAACCGTGAAAACATTAATGAAAATATAACTGAAAGGTTTGGTAGTTTTTCAATTTTTTGGTCTTAAGCTAGTTCAGGTTCACACTTGTGGGAAGCGGCTACTTGAGACTTGAAGGTGCTGTACGTTCAGATGTTGAACGTTATGTTTGCGTTGCGAAAAACAGTCATGGAATGGATTGGGGGATCGTAGAGCTTCGATTGGATTACTCAGATTGGTATTCTTTGGATCTATTCGAGAGTGTGTTTTGGGGATCTTTAGCTTTTTGTATAGGTGAGAACTTTGACCCCTGAAACATAAGACATTTTTTCTCAGTTTTGTGTGCTATATCTTTTTTACTCAACATAACATGGATTTTAACCAGGAAGAGTATTCTTTGGTGGATTCAAAGGTAGTGTAATTAAATTGTCGAGTCAGGTAGTATTGAATTCAGAGCTGAACGAATCTCTCGTGTAAGAAAAATGGTTGAAGCAATGGAAAAATATAGAGTACGTCAGCTGGACTCACTTCATGACAAATACTCCAGGAGGATTCAGCTGGTCAGAGACAACTATCACCAGCAGGTTCAAAAGATATTATTTTGTTCACTCATTTGTTTTGAATAGGTCGAGGCTTTGAGAGTTTCTTATTCCTCACAAGCAGAACGTTTCCGTGATTATCGTGCTGCCCAAATGGAGTCCGTAACTAGTCATTTGGAGAACATACGTGATAACTACCAACAACAACTGAACAGAGTCCGAGAGTATGGTTCGCGGCGAGCTGAGCAATTATGGGAGAGTTATGAACGACAAGTTTGTTAATTCAGTTAATTCTCGATTTTACATTTTGTTTTAAGGTCAATAGAATGCGTACGTTCAGTCTGCAGCATCGTCTCAAGTTAATGAGGCAGTACAAAGTCAAACAACGATACCTGAATAAGTTGCTCGAGTCCTTCCAAGACGCTCATAGTCCGGAGGCATTGAGGAAGCATGTAAATTATGAAAATCGTTGCTTTCATCTGATATTCGCTTTTAGGAAGAAGAAGTTAGAGCTGCGTTAGATCTTCCGGAGCCAGAAGTTCCAGAGAGACATCCACTCTCCAGATCATCGTCCTTCTATTCTCTTCCTGAGTATGTGTTGGATGATAGCGGACAATTACGGCCAAGCCCTCTAGTGCCCAACGTCAGGTAGGATCATATGTGCTCTACTGATTTCTATAAACTTCCGCTTTTAGATTCCCCTTAGATCCTGTGAGTCCTCCGAGTACATGGCGTGATAGCATTCAAACGCCAACAACTAGTGCAGCTTCTAGATCTGTGGAAACTGAAAGAGATCTCTTGAATCCTGGTCCTAACCAGGGAGGAGATGTGTAGTTTTTGAAATATTATAGACAGACACATTTAAGCAAAACTACTGTGTCTCTTTTCCTCAGTCACTGGTGGGTTAGAAAAGTTCCTCAACATCATTTCCACACAATTCCTCATCTATCTAGTCATTTTTACTTGGAGCTTCCAAAAAAATTTAATAAGATATGTAGCTCAACCTCTTTATGAGAAACAAATCGGGCTTTAACTGAACGCCTGGCTGGTTGTATATGTGAGATGGTTTTTTGATAACAGTTTTGTTTTTCGTTAAGAGTTACTAAACTCAAAGGTGGGAAAACGTTCATTCCTAGGAACTGTACTAGTTTTATCTTCGGAGCTTAGACGTACAGATCGGTTGCATTCACATACATTCTTGAGAACCTTTATCATTTATATATATTTTGTTTGTAATAAATTTGGTTTGTAAAAGCAAAATTTGAGCTATCTTGTCGCTAGTTTGGGTCTCAAAATTATTGCAATCGTTCTAGTTTTATACAAATATATAAATTAACTGACTTTAATAAGAATTGTAATTCATGCTGGCCCTATTGCAGAACTTAACATATTCATTTCATAACTATATTTTTGAGACAATAAATTGGAGATTGGTTCACGATGAACTACAGAACATGAACTGCCATTGTAGAAAACTTATGTGAAATTCTCTAATCATGTCTGTTGTACTTAAGTCCAAACTTGTTGTACTTTAAGCTTTTTTGTCTTCTGAACTGGCATGACCGTTCTTTAGAGTTGTATGCTGTGTTTTAAGTTGAAAAAGATAGTTTTGTCATCCACACAGTCTATCTAGTCTGTACAGTGATTAAATTTGACAATAAAGACATACATACGAGAAGTCAAAATGCTAGATTATTTGCTTTGCGGAAAGGAAGAAGCAGCAGCATACTATAGAAAGAGCTCAAAGGATTAAGACAAAACAACTTCCGATAGCCAAGCACGCGTCTTGGTGAGTATCTTTCGATGATATGATGGGGTTAATGGAGAGAGAAGGTAATTTAGAAAAATATCTTCTCATGCACTATGTTATAGTTAATTAGATGATCAGTATAAGTGTAAGTACAAACGATGTATCTGGTTCAGATGAAGTTGAGGCGGCAATGAAAATTGATCCACATAGGTTTGAAATATGAGTTTTTTCCTCAACTAACTTGACCTTTAAGAACAAAGTTGTACAAGTTCACATGCCATACAGGTTGATTTGACGTAGTTAGAGGGAAAATAGTGATCTAGGTTGGGATGAGACGGTTGGCGCAACAAACTTGATGTACTTTCCTTACCCTTTGGGGAAGTTAAAATAAGCATTTTACTCAAGAAATTAGTTAAGTTCAACAGAAGTGGACTTTTATAGACTGCCATGATACATGAGAACGTATTAGAGATGAAATAGATCAATAAAAAAGGAGAAAAGCATTCTAATATCTCATAGTGATCAACTAACCAACTCAGTCATCGAGAGTCACCTCGATGATGTACTATACACTTCATGGGATTCTCTTCATTACAAAGATATCTTTGATAACACAAGTAAGTCTAGTATATCATTCCACTCTGACGAATCTTCTTCAGTTTGGGAGCCGCAGAGCATCAGAGCTTAGAGCCACTGAACAGCAGACGTGGATGGAAGAACGGATCACTAACGGATGACTTCAACTTCCCCTCCGATCTGAAAGCCGTTTCAAGGTACTTTTTTTTCTAATAAACTAACTTTCGCTTCTCGTTGGCTTTGTCTTCATGGTTGAGAGTTGTCAATTGCGAACTTGCATTAGGATTACCTGTCCCCTCTTTCAATTTCTCATTCTAAAAGAGAGATTATCTGGCATTTACATAATCAAGCGATACCATCCGTGCGCTTATGAGCTCCCATTTAGCTATCTCTTCCGATGGACTTGTTGATTCATCGAAGCTACGATAAGTGTTGAGCATAGGCAATCTGAAGCGTCGCATATAAGGGGAAGCCACATGACCTATAAGTTATGAGAGTAAAATTCATTTAATCACTTTCATGATATGTACCTGTTGAGAATTGACTACGAGACATATCCACGCGTGCTGCTGTAGATTAGGAAATGCGTATCTGATTATTCAGTAAGCAGTTAGTGAGCTTGATGGATGAATTAGAACACTTTAGTTGCTCTGAATTGTCAGAAGAGAATGAACGACTGATGCGAACTCTTGATAAGGAATTTGAAAGAAACAAAAGTCGTAAGTCAGTTGATGACTCAATTGCTACTGATGAGCATTTAAGCAGACCACATCATGCGATGCTTTTCCTTTTTAGTTCTCAAAAAAATGGTCTGTGGGATATGCAAGATTTTGAGAAACTAGTGCAATAGCCTTCGTTTACGACTCATCATTTCCTGCCTGCAATTTATTTATGAATTGTGAATGGATAAGTATGAGAACCTGATAGCTACGCTTGTCATTGCTGATCTCCCTGATGCAAAGTAGTCGCGAGTAAAAAAAACTGTTTATTATTTGACAGAAGTTAATATGTTACAGAACAAGTGAATTAAAAACAAAAATTAGTTATCGAGTAGTGTTACAGTAGTATTGCTTAAGTACAAATGAGAGATCTCATACTAGCTTTAATCCTCCGAATTCCTCAACTGGGATAGACTGAAATGATTTGCTTAGTAACCCGAAAATAGCAGCAAGACCATACCTTTCGTTTGCCCTTAGTAACTCTCTGCCAGAGTACACTGCGACACCTGAAAACGTGATTGTTTAGAACTTTTTTTCGAAACAGGCATTCAAAAAATGCGCGAAATACCAACTTTCTAGTGCCGCATGAGCATAATACATGGTCTACGTATTGGTCCACCAACAATTCGTGTTGTCCATACTTTCCTGGAAATAAAACTTGTGCGTTAAGTTTCGAAACTTTACTCTGGCCTAAAAAGGTGGTGCAAATGGGATTGCAGTTAGTTAGAAACATTGTAAGACCAGCGAGTGTTAGAATTTTGAGTGTTTCTCTTATTGACTCTTACCTGTTGGGAAAGCGGTAAACCAGTCCAGTGTTAGAGTTTCTCCAGGTACGATAGATCTTCTAGTGTAAACGAATAGTTTGGCTTTTCCGTTAATGTACTCGCGCTTTACGAAACAGTTAGGATCGCACTGTAATTGTCTTAGTTATGACTGGTGACCATCTTCCTCTTACTGATTGAACTAGGTATTGAGAGAAGTCGGATATTTCTCTACGATCGAGGCAATGAGCATCGTCTAAGGCTACGAAGAATGGGAAAGCAATCAACTCTCCGTGTTTATCCATAGCTTCACTAGCTACACTTTTGCGTACGACCTAGAAGATTGAGCTGAGTTAAGATGAACTAGCTGGTTGTATACTTTTCCTCCAATGGGCATGATCTGAACATCAGGACTAATAGGACCTCTGGAAATAATCTCCCATCTTCTCTCTTCTCGTCTGATAATGACCATGTGGACAGGCTCCTTTCTCTGTAGGAAAGTATGGTTGGTTCTGGAATTGCGTTGACATTAGAGGATCCACTGCCAAAACTCACTGGAAGAAGATGCGAAGCTTTGCATTTTTGATCAAGTTGTTCGAGAATGTCTATAAGAAGTTAGATAAGAGCCCATTTTTTGTTTTGGAACATACATCGCGATCATTCACTGGCATAGGTGTACCCCTCTCATAAGCATCTAGGCACTCTTCGCTCAAAAGATATTTCTAAAATAATGCTTTGATTGATTTCTAATCATGACCACCAACATTGTCTGAATTAGATTCGAGTGGACGATCTCCTGGTGACAAATAGTCATCAAATGCGTATCGCGACAGAGGAAGAGGCATAGCAGAGTCAAACTCGTTATACATTTCGAAAAAGGGGAAATCGGAGAACATTCCGTTCAATAGACGGAGCTGATTCGAGTAGCTGCAATCACCATTAATAATATATCATAAGTAAATCTACACTCACTGCGCCTGTAGGGCTTGTGAAAGATCGTAAGACCAAGGAGCGTATCTGAAATCCCATTCAGGATTTTCCTAAAAGTATGCATATGAATGCTAGAAAAAAGTAATAGCATTACATCGATGATATCGTTTCTGATTGGTACGGTTTTAGTGAACATGAAGCGTCCGAAAGATGATTGCAAAGTCTGGTATAAGAATGTTCCGTGCATGATTTCTGAAAACAAAAACTTTAATTGGAAACTCAGTGAGCTACATACTAAGATCCTTGTCTGATAAGTCTTCAGAGTTCTTTTTGTTAAGCCAGTAGTCTAAGATGTCGGTGTAGAAAATGATTCTGTTTTCTCTCTGAAAGTGAAAAGTATATAAGTGGAAGGCTGTAAGAACTGTACCTCAAATGAATTATCCTTTTCAGAATATCCTTCCCATTTAATGAGATATTGGACTTCTTTAGCTTCCTGAAAGCACCGTTTGTGTGAAAAAAATTATTAACACACATGTACCACTCGATATCTTATAAAAGATTCTACAACATACGCTTCAGCTATCTCTTGACTCGAATTGGCAACGCTCTCATCTTGCGCTCAAATACAAGAAAGTGAGATTTAGGAAATAAAAAACAAAAATTGGATCTCACTTTCATTCTTTTCTATCCGGGATTTACTGTTGGAAGCCTTTCTTTTAGGCATTGCAAAGCTAACTTATATTACCTAGAGCACAATTGTTACAAGTAAGTACGTGAGTAAGTGAGTGAGTAAGTAATTAATAACAATAACATTTAGGACACGATTACGAAATAATTGGACAGGAAACGTTGCGAAATGGACATGAGATGACAGAAATAGTAATAAAATGTAAAAAAAAACTATCCGCAGCGAGACTATTCTAATTCAAAAAGGAAGCTCTCACACTCTAACTCCGCGTCGAGACTCAATGCTTGCGAGACGGCTTGCTTCCTGAAGCTCACCGCTGACAATACTGACTGTCCGACCTCACATCCCTCAACTGACCAAGCTAGGCGCCTTTAAGCCACAACTGTGGTAATTTACGATTTGAAACTGATGGTTAATTCATTAGAATCCTTCCTTATATAGGCCCTCCTGATTAGGAAAGTGCAGATAGCGTGGGAATTAGGTTAAACCGCGTTCGTTTAACCTTTAAGGTTATCTGCACTCTTGCCAAAGTTCCTTCATCTTTTGTTAAGTCCATATTTGGTTTTTTTTATTATGTTTGCACTTTTAATTTTACTTTAATGACCAAGACTTAGAGAAGAGACGGTCGGAAATGGAGAGTCAAGATGAGAGCTCAGGTGCATGAGCATAAGAGACAGAACTGACGACTTCTAACTGGACTGCAGACATCTTCAACCACCTTCCTGGATCGAGAACTACCGAATAATGGACATGAACCCATACTTCCACATGACAACCAATAACACAAACTTCCGAGATCACCCGGGATACCATTACGAACTACCTTTCCTTTGTTATTTTTTCCCATTTCTTTTCATTTCTTTTCATTTCGGTATCTCTTTCTCTTCCATTTCTTGTGCACTTTGGAGAAATCTGACCGGTTGTAGTTCTCAAAGTACAAGAACTTTTTCTTAGAAAGGTCAAATACAATATATTTGCCCTAAAAGGACGTCACGATCTATGCCATTTTTCAAAATTTTCATGCCAAACTCAAATTGTACTTAGTGACCTTATAGTGTATATCTTGTACTCTAATACCCATCAAGGTTTGAACTTAAGGATATGGCTAGTGTCCAGCGGTTTTTTGCTGTACGAGATGACCACCGAACAGAGAACGGAAGCGATACTCTTCTGGGTAAGCAAATCTTCTCGATTACTCAAGAACTAATATATTGAAGCTTAACAAATTTGGAGATCAACCAGGGCTTAACTTACGACCATGCACACAACTGATAACTGTCTGGTGTTCACATCTTCCTAGTATCACTCATTTCTGGTTTGTCATCTGATTCTATGGTTTTTCGAGTAAAATAGCTTGACAGGAAAATTGGTTCGGAGAACAGCTTTCTCACCCAAAGATGCCTACAAGGAAGCCAAAGAAATGCTTGGTAAAGCATTCAACGTGAGAAAGACGCACAAGCATCTTGTTAAACAGTTGAGCTCGTCACAAGCTGCGAATGGAGATGAAAAAGAAATCTATAAGGTATACTACCAGCCTCATGTGGAACTTGCAGTTCTCTTTACAGTTTCTCGTACTAATCACTTTCAATATTGCCATTTGTCACGAAGACATGATTTGTAAGTTCCGACATGATCTCCGAAACAAAGGCTTAGAGGATATTCTGGGGAGAACGGTATGCTGTTAAATTTTGAGTGATGCGTATCGTTTCTCTGTTTTCTTCCAGCTCCAACAATGTTGTGACAATATTCTTGGCGATTCTTGGTTCAGTGTCGAGATGACACCCATCCTTCAGCGAAGTAATACCCATGTTAACTGCCCGTCTTTTCCTTTTCTTTTCCAGAAAACCTTAGTGCCAGGAAGACACGAGAAGAAGTTTACACGAACGTTTCTTCCTCTTGCGATCTTAACAACACTCTCAGTTCTCCCTCCTTCCAGTAAGATTCTTCTCATTTCGGTTAATCAGTCTGTTTTCTTTAGAAAGCTAAGGCAGAAGAACATTGTCATTGAAAAGCTGGAGCAAGAGAACAATGTCCTCCGAAATCAATGCGAGAACAATGTGAAGAAGGTACGCTAATGATAATATGAGTGAACCTCAAACTTTGAAGGTAAATAGTTACAAAGAGTATTTGGAAGAGGCTGAGCAACAGAAAGAGAATGTGTCCTCAGAGTTACGCAGCCGCATCAACGAGCTGAATTCGGATGAAAAGAGACTACGAATGGAGAACAAGATTCTCTTGAGAGAAAAGTCTTGTCTTGAGTATGATATCAGTACAAAAGAACAGGCGATTCTAGACATGTCAAGAGAGTAAGAAAAGGATTGGCGATTTTCATGTGGTTTTGCTACTTTGAAGATTGAAAGAGTTGAAATCTAGCCTGAACGAATCGAAGGATGAGGTACAACGCTTCCAGCAAATCAACAGCAAGCTGCGAGAATCATCAGACAGTATGGAAATGACAATGAAATCTATGAGGAAGCAATTGGATGAAGCTCGTGATACGGTTCTCAGCCAACAAATATTTTGAAAAGGATCTTGTTACAGATAGCGCTGAATACAATCAAGCTAAATGAGCCTCAGATCGAGCGCCAGAAATTCCAGGAGAAATGCGAAGAATTGAAAAAAGCTGATAAGGAGAACAAGGATGAGATCAAATATCTGAAGGAACAAGTACTCTCCCTGACTTCGGTAGTTCAATAGTATGGAACCCTGGAAATTCGAGTTTAGTCTAACAGTGACTACAAGCGGCAGTTCCTCACTCTGGAGAATCAGCTTCAAAACTATGAACAAAGAGTTCAGAATTTGGTGAGAGATTTGGAAAATGAAAAAAAAAACAATCTGAGTGTCCTCCGTGAGCAGGTTAGATTTATTGACACTATTGGATAAACTATCTTTTTTCGGGAAGTTAATCACACAAGACTGGTGGAACGAGAGAGGGATATCAATCGAGACCTGACTAACCAACTGAGACAGTCTAGAGAAGTAACTTGGTTCCCTTGGCAATATATAATGATTGTTCAGAAAAATCGGGATATAACTGAGTTATACAACACTAATATTGCTAATGAGAAGAACACATCGTTGATGTACAAGAAATCCAAAGAAGAGGCTGAGTACAAGCTTCAGAGCTTCAAACGAGAGTGGGAAGAACAGAATGAGCAAACTAGGGCTTCCTATAAGAGAGAGGTTCTTTCATGAGATTATGATAATTGAGATAACTACTTCAGTTCAGATCGATGCTTTACGAGAACTCAAGGAATACCATGAGAAGAAGTGTGATGAGTCTGAAAGAGAACTTGATGAACTACGACACAATCTTGCCAATGTGAGTCCCCTCTAGGAGTTTGTCTTCATGCTCTTACAGTTAGGCAACATGGGCACGGGTGAATCCATTAAAGCATATTCAAGTTTCACCGTGAACTGCCATGAGTTGAGACTGATCAAACAGCTATTGGAAAACAAGGATTATGAGGTGAACCTTTTCACACTTGATGAAGGATATCTTGAAAGTTCAGATTGAAAACCTTAATCAGAATTTCGACGGCGAAAATTGGTGTCGAGAGAGAGAAGCCCGGATCACGAGCGAACTTATTGTATGTTTTATATAAAAACAGATAATCTGTTTGCTTCTAGCATTTCTATGAAAGTAAACTCCGACAGTTAACTGAAGTTGTGCGATATGCGTTCACACTAATGAACTCTGAAGCTTCGAAGATGGAGTCTTGCTTGGTAAAGTTTTCGGATTGAAAGTTAGAAAATGTATGATTCAGGTTGATCTTGACCGTGTCTTTGATGAGAACGAAAGCCTCAAGAACCAACTGCGCACTTGTAATATGAAAGCTTGAACTGATTGCATGTATTAATCGAATTTTAACGAATTTTTTCATTTTATTTCTTTATATATGATGAAAATAAAATATTCTAAACGTATTTACTATAGTAATATAGTGTTGGCGCAGGCGCACCTTTCTGCCCAAATGCGATGTTCTGCTTTTTGGAGGTATTCGAAGGATCAGATTCTCTCTCTTCCATGCTATAGAGTTGATAGAAGGTGTAAACAAAGTATAATACATCTAAAAGACTGAATCCCAGCATTCGATGTCTCTCCTTGGTGTCATTGTTCACTGCTCTGCGTGCTCTTTGATAAACCTTAAAAACTCGTCTATTATTCTTTACCATCATTTTTAAGATGATTTATAATTTCTTCAGGTATTTCTGAAGAATTGATGAAATAAATTTCTCGGCAACCCTCTCAATGAGTCATATAGACATTCGGAGAAAGTAGGCTGTTCCTCAAACAGTACTGTAAAGAGTGCTGTAGGTTTCATGTGCGCCCTAATCGTAAAAAAAAATGCCGCGAAAATAAAAAATTTCAAACCTGTTATTTCAAGCCTGTTGATTTGAATAGATGTAGCCACAAGTTTGCTTTGAAGCGTAACATAGAACCATCTGAATCATTAGAGTGTTCCGAAAATAGACTTATAGTTGCAAAATCTTTATATATTATTGTTTTTCATGTGAGGCACGCTGACTAATATGGTAGCTGTGGAACCCGAAAGAATTCAGGCTGTCTTGCTCTGGGTAGAGTGAAACCTCGATAACTATGTAAACCATGCTTTTTTTTAGATTAATGAATATGGATTTGATGAACGTCTTAATTTACCCGCCATTCAGAAATTGGCGGAGGTGTGGAAGCGACATCTTTTGGCTATAGGGACACTAATGTAATTCGCAGATGATATTCTGTTTAGTCGTTTTGATTCGTTTGTAGAGAAGCGAGAGAGCCAGGCCAATGCAGTGTTTCATCTGCTGCTGATACCTTCGAGTTAGCATTAGGAGTCTTGAAAGGTGCTGATGATGCTAAAAGCCCAGATCAGAGAGGACGCGTATCATCATTGTCTGCTGAGAAAGCTGCCAGTGGCAATGAAAGCGAGATTTACAAAGTATGTCTTTTTATTATTTCCTGTTTTATTGTTTTTTCATAGTTCCTAGTTCTATTTCTACACGAGATCGCACTCTTCTCCAAAGATTGGATTCAGAAATTCATCCCTGCCTTACAAGAAAAAAGTTTGGAAACTGCTTTTGCTAGCATCGTACGTTCTGTTTACTCGAACTATTTCATTACATGCAATTCCTTTACAGTTAGAGCAATGTGCCAACAATGTTGAAAGCGACTCATGGTGGCGATCAGAACCTTTCACCCCGAATAGGGATATAATACTAACACCTGTTCGAACTGGTTTGTAAGCTTTTATATTTTTTTTTATTTTCATCTCATTCAAGTTGTCCAAACCCCCAAAGTTCGTAAAATTTCCCATTCCAAGTTCACTAGCAGAGAAGAGGTATTCACTACTGACGATTTGGGCAGTCCTATTAAGAATCTATTAAATTCTCCTCGTATCAAGTAATAATGCCTTCTTTTACACTCCATTTTTATCAATAATTCGCAGTGAGATGCGGATAGAACAGTACAGTGTCAAGGAAAGGAAGTTGAATGAGAAAATTCATGGGCTGGAAGAGGAAAAGATGGTTTTAGAAGAGAAGATGGTCATACTCAGAAAAGAGACAACTGATTTAACATTAGAGTCAGTACTTGTATGATTCAAATTTCTATTCTATGATTCAGCTTACACAATTGGAAACAGAAAGCATCCGATTTAGAACGAGAGTTATCTAGGGCGAATGAGTCAAACAAGAAGTATATGGGTGAGTGTGATACACTCGAAAAGGAGAAAAGAATCCTCGCAAAGCAAGCTGAAGACAAGGCTATGAATGTACGTTACTCATCTTGTAACTCTTCAGTGTACCATTGAATTCAGGTTGAAAAGTTCAAAGGTTATTTGGAAGATTCGGAGAACAAAAGGTCTCGAGCATTAGAAGAAATCCAAGAACTTCAGCTCAGACTAAAAACCTATGAGGAAAATCTCTCCTTCATAAAGGATGAGAAGGATAGTTTGTACTCTGTATGTGTTTAGAGATAGCGACCTTTTTATAGTTTTTTTTATTTGAGGAAAATAATCAACTGAAGCGTAATGCTGCTTTGATGGAGAAGCAAGCGCAAGATTTAATCTCCAAGGTTGATACAGCCCATGAAGAGCTTCAACGTGAAAAACTCAATTTCACAGAGAAGCTCAAGAGTCAGGTACTATCTATAGACATTATTGACTGATTAGTTAATGCGTTAATCAGGAACATGAACTAGTCATGATAATAGAAGAAGAGAGGAATCTTCGACTAGAAGCCCATCGTAAAGTTCGAGAGTTGGAAGAGGTGCATAGCTCGAAGCTTTTCTTATAACGATATTGGTATCATAGGAGTTGGCAGAAAAGAATGCGCTCTATTTGGAAAACTTGGAAAGAGAAAAATTAAGTGCTCTGAGGTATAAACAATCGAAAGAAGAAGCTGAAGAGAACTTGTCGGGAAAGAAGAAGGAATGGGAAGAGTATATCAAAGAAATGAAGTCTTCTCATGAGCGAGAGGTGAGTTCATTCTGGCTTCTACCACATGGATTTTCTCCAAGGTCAACAGTTTGAAAGAATTCAACGATTACTTCGAGAAGAAACATGAGTCACTAAATGAGGAAATGGAGTTTTTGAAAAGCAGCTTATCAAAGGTTTTTTACCTGTTGTGTAATCTTATCAAAATTTCAATTCAGAGTAACTCGGAATTCTCAGTGCGGGAGAACGATTTCTTAGATTGTATGAAAACTTTGAAAATGGACTTAGAAAAATCTGATACTGAAAGGAAGTTATTGAAACGACAAGTTGTTGAGACGGAATCTCAGGTTGAATTCTCGGAAGTTCGTATGCTTTGACACTAGTTCTTCAGATTGCTCAACTACGTAAGGATTTAAATGACACCAGTGAAGATAAACGAAAACAAGTTACCGCTCTTGAAGAATATCTGGTCAGTATCTGTATCACAGAATTCAACAGATTATTGTTTTACAGGAAACAGCTAGAGAGAGAATTGCAGAGCTTGAAGATCATGTCTACGGCTTGAAAGCTGTGTTGAGAGATATGGTGGAGAAGTTCAGTACAGCTGAAACTTTCATGGAAAGTCTTGTCGATGAAAATGCTGCTCTTCGTGAACAGTTGGAAGATCTTGAAAAAGTGAAAATTGAGATTGAAGAAGGAGAAATGCCAATCCCAGATGATTTCCCAGTGAAGGAAGAGACACTAGAGCAAGTCGAGCAAAAAGTATTTTATCAGTTTCGTCAAGTTCTCATTGCTTCACCTAGATTAACGAGTTAGGATTGGAAGATAACACAGAAGAGGCTAATGACGAAGTTTTGAGAATTTTGGATGATGCCGTAACCTCAGGTTCGGATCAACCCGTTGATCGTTTCCAAATCATTTTAGGTGATCAAATGGGTACCGTTATGCCTGATGTTAATGAGGATGAAGAGCCATGCGAAATGTTCTCAACACTACTGGATGGTTCCTGTGTATCGGTTAGTTCGTTAGTAGAGAAGCTGATTAGTAACTGTAATGGTCAGAATGCTTTCCTTCCACCACGAGAGTCACATAAAGGCGAAAGTCAAGGAGATCAACAAACCTCGGCAAAGCAGGAAGTAACACGAAGGAGCTCTTTCGATTTCTGTATGTGTTACTTTGCTCATAACAAGACTAACATATTTTGTGATACTGAGAGTAAACTAAGACTATTTGTTTCAGCTGTACCATCAGTACCGAAGAAGTCCCCACAGACAGTAGAAACTGATAAAAGTAGGATCACAGAATTGAAACAACGAAATACGTTTGTGACTAGTTTTGTTTGCTTTCTGAAATGCCCTTTTCAGGCAAGTACCAAGTGCCCTCAAGTGTTCGTATTCCGTTGAGACAATGAATTATTCTTCTCCTTCGGGAGGAGAGTCTTCCATTAAAGGAAAGAATACGGGCTCCAAAACATTGATGAAGAGAATGTCACATATAATCAATAGGAAGGGAAAGGAAAATGATCAAGCTCACAGCACTAATAAGGTACATGATGAGACATGCGTTTGCTTGAATAGAAAATCTTCCAGGTACCCGATACGATGGGAAAGGCTTCAAGAGGACCGCTTGTAAATAAAAATTCATAATTTGAGTCATGGGATGGTCATTAAAGAAAAAAAACTTTGTTACTATTTTAATACTAATTGTCAACTCACCGTGTATATGGCACAGAACTAATATCCAACTCATTTCGGGAATATCTTATGTACAGAAATCGTTTTCGCAGATAAATTTTTGGCATCTCATCTCACTCTCTCTCCGCATGCATAGATCTTTTTTCTTCATCTTACTCAACACTTCAATATTTACTCGTCTGATAAAGACTCGTGTTTGCTTTAGCCTCTCGTCATTGAATGATTGATATGAGTCTGACTCACCCTCTAGGCTTTATATTCACATCCCTGAATTCGAAGGTTATCATTCTTTCTCTCTTCTCATTTCAAACGTGAGTTAGAATGTGCCGAATTCTACTGTATGTCTTGGCAATTTTCTGTCCGGTAAGTGTTTTAACATCATTTTTCATTTTACATTTTATAATTTCAATCAATTGTATCAAATTTCATTACTTTACTATTTCAGCCACTAGCAGTATTATTCGCCGAAGGATGTACTACAAACTTCTGGATTAACTTGGTTTTAACGTTCTTACTCTTCATACCGGGCGTTATACATGCCTTCTATATTCTGTGCACCAGAAGACACTGCCACGATGAAATTATTGTAATTGAGCGTCACGATCACTGCCGTTATTAATATACTTATTTCTGTACATACAATTGAATAAAAGTTCATATTGTCCTGATATCTATTTCTTATCAACATTGAAATTCAGAAGATTATATTACTATAGATCTTTATTCTATGTTCTAAACCCGTCGAATCATTTTTTGATATGAAGAGGGTTGACAATTTCTTCCTGTAAAGAACGCCCACCAAGTACCTAAAATTAACGGAATTATTCAGTCAATGGCAAACAATATCTACCTCAGCTCTGTTAGGAACATATTGATCCCAATTATAAGCTACGAATGCAGGATACGACAAAGCACATGTTGTATAGTAACATCTGAACACGAGAAATGTGCGATCGCCATAAACGTTTTTTTACCTCAAAAGAAGTACGCGTGCTGGCCTTTCCAAATAATACCAAGGTAGGGACATAGTACTGAAAACAAAGTGTCGAATCCTAGCGAACGAATATGTATTAGGAAAGAGATGACTCGCGAACTAAAAGCTTAGAACTGTCGAAGGTGGAAACAGCAAAAGCTTAAGAGAGTCGCAACAGATATTTTCATGCCGACGGCACTTGCCAAGTACGCAGTTCAAGTGAAAAGAGTTTCGCGCCTTTGGATATACTTCCTTATAAACTTCTAATTATTTACTCAGTTTTCTTAGTAATGGTTATATGTTAGATTCTAATTAAAAATATGTTTTAAGAGTATTCTCCATGAGTGAAAACGCTACTTGGAACCATGAAAGGAGAAGACAAAAGTCCATTAATAGGTTTGTCACAGCCGCCAGATTTTTTCGAAAAATGAATTCAGGGCTCAACGAATGAGGGCTAGGCTTGTTCCATGGTCTATCGCACTTTTAGTATTAACAGTAGAGGTAAATAAAAGTCTAAAAAATTCTTCATTTCATCATTATCATAGATATTCCTGTTGAGCAGCTTCTTCGGAAAGTATTTCCTATATAGTTTGATACCCTCCAAAGTCATAATAGTGCTAGAGTGGCTAGTTCTGCTCCATGTTTTCACAACGAACTTATGGTTGGCGTACAAGTCTTTGCCAGAAAGTTCAACAGAAATTCGTTATAAAAGTAAGAATAGAACAGTTTTTCCATCACTCAAGTATTGTTATTTCAGAAAGAACTTCAGAACAGTCCAACACATCAGTATTAGATAAGTCTCTCAACACATCGCGGAAAGCTGATAGTTCCTGGGTTGAAAGCCACTCATTCGGATTTACTTCTAGCCGGATTTTTAGTCATGAACCAAGTTCATCAACTCCTAGAAGGTTTGCTCTTCTAACCAATCTTTAACTTTATGTATTGTTTCAGTAATCATGGAAATGTACCTCTCGATGTGTCATCGGATGGGTTGATCAGTCCCATATATCACCATTCGAATGCTAGTCCGTATTCTAAATCTGTGGATAGTATTCACACAAGGGACCAATTGGATCGACTCTTAAGAAAGAGGTACGTTCATTGAAAATCCTTAACACATGCTACGCTTCTGTTTCTAGTACTGACGAGAGCCGAGGAGATCTCTCGACTTCCTTTAATAATAGTTCCATTTCTTACTTTAATTTGCTCGATGCTAGTGGATCAGAGAAGAAGCCATATCAGCTATCAGAAGCTTCTAAAGCTGATAAAAAAGATGGTGGAGGTACCAAGTCTCGAGAGAGAGTGTTTCCTTACTTGTAAATGTTGCAGTTGTTCGAATCGACTCTTCTGGTAGAGTTTATCTCTCACCCGTTCCAAGAGGTGGTGATGGAGATATGGATGATCTTCAAAGACTCAAAGTCTCTCTTATGAACGTGAAAAACACGAGCAAGAAGGTATTCTATTCGTTCGTAATCACTTCTCACATACTCTATATTCAGACTGGATCACCTTTGCTCCGTCGATCAGAATCAAACGAGAGAAGACGTAGAAGCTTCTCCATCGCTGACGGTTCAATCTCGTCAGTTTCTTCTTCTCCCAAGATCGAGATGAGGTTAGGTGTCTATTAAGTTTTGAAGTTAACTAGAATTTAGCTCTTCTCTGGATGAAGAACGTTTGTTACGAGGAGAGCAGCTTGTTCGTGTATGGATTTCGAATTCCATCTTGAGTACATTGAGCGTAGAAATTAAAAATGTGAACAAAGCTCTCGAAGAGGTAGTTCATCAATATTTCTTTTGGAAGTTTTTTCCATATTTGTAGGATCATACGACTTTGCGTATTGGATCTGCTTCTGTGGAAGCTTTGAAGACTGCTTTGATCTCTAAAGAAAAGTTGAAAAGCACAACTTTGCCTTACTTGCTCCCCTATCTCTCGTTCCATACCAATCAGGCTTATCTTGTTTCTCGCATCTTAGAATTTAGTGCTGATCCCTTCATCTCGAACTTCAGTTGGAACAGTGGTGGAACTGAGCCCGTCTCTGAGGAATCTGGTATGGCAATGACCATATTGCTTGAGATAATATCCAATTTAGTAAATGGAAGAATTGCCCGACGAGCTTGGAGCGATAGCCTGCCAACTGACAGTGCATTGTTGTTCCACATTTTCTGTACTTATATGGATAGTAAGGTGACATCTAATCCATTGGTAGGATCAGCCTCGTGAGTTCATTCGTCATCAAGAAACACGTAATCAACTTTTATTAGGTTATCTAACCCATTTTCTGCCGTTTATACACTCATTTCACCCCAAAAACCATCTGCCATCCATAATGCTCCTGGTTCTTTCTATATTCATATGGTTTGTGACTTGATTATGAGATGCATTCAATTAGCGAGATAATTATTTTCAGTCTTCGGCATCGCCTCCTCAATTTGAGCTTGTTCACACAGACTCTAATGGTGTGACATCGCGAACTGTTGTCGCCAAGGGTCCCAATAACTTCTTCCGAACAATCGTTCATTTTATTTATTATGCTAAGGTGAGTGCATGAGGAGTTGATCAGAAGCTTCAACGTCTGTTTAAGGTCTACAATGAAAGTCGAATTGATGTAATGAACATCGGAAAAACTGGATTAAATCTTGCGTGTATTTTGGAAGCTTAAATCATAATTTTCTAACAATTGTTTAATAATTAATTTTTGGTGAATTGTTCAGCCGGTTTCAACTGGCACTTTGTTATTTTCTAAAGATCTCCTTCTCAATTGAAATAATGTTAATGATTGACATTACAGGTAATAAAGAATAACCTGAAAGTGAATGTTGTTGATTGATTGATTGAGAAGAAGAGGTGACGAAGACAATCCCTTCGAGTTAGGATTCAAAGGTATAGTTGCTTACCACTCTTCGCTCTAAGCTTAATGAACTAAAAATGTGTTGCAGAGAGAGTATCATAGAGAGTGAAAGAGAGAGAGAGAGAGAGCTGATGAAGAGGTTTCTTCGAAAATAAAATATTTATGGGTTGAGCCAGGTGGCATGGCTATCCATACTGTTCGAATAGCTTAATTGGTCAAGCAATTACGAACATTGTAAATTATTCTTATATTGCTTGACATCTTGAGCGTTGTCACAGTCAGCTTTTCTCGTCTTCAATGCATTTGTGAGTGGAAGATGGATTAAAGTTAATAATTTATTATATAAAAACTGTTGAAAAGAAAAAGAAAACGACAAGTGTTGAAATACCCGTGATTAGTATGTCTGTCTGTGTATGAGTGTTTTGGGATGATGATGATGGTGTCTACAAGTTACGTAATACAATGCAATTAGCGAAATAGCTGAGTGGTAGAGTAGAAAGGGGATTAATAATCTGAGAAAATGTTGAAAAACGATTATGAGAAGGGTTCAAGAGGTTAATTTGTCTTGGTTTTTGTTATTCCTTTATGGTTGTTGAGGATAATAAGACATAGCGTGTGAATATCCGACACTATTTTCATATCCTGGATCAGAGGAACAGGATTGAGGCTCATAGTAGCATGGAGGTGAGTTGACCTGCAAATATAATTTATAAATTGATTGCGAATTATTGAGTATTTACCTGATATGGCATGTATTGCAGATGAGATGTCGAATGAGTTGGAGTTGCTGTTGGGGTTGAATAGGCTGTTGGACACTGTTCTTGACGATTGGGAGAAGAGATCAAAAGTCTTGGCTGCACTTGAAGAAGGTTAGCTAGCATGTTAGTTGTCGTTTGGCTGAGTCCAACAGAGAGTTGTTGAGCATATTCCAAGGGGCTTGGGGTAGCTCCAGATTGAAGGATGTGATGAAGAGCAGAGATGTAGTTTCTGAAAGAATATCATGATGAGGAAAGCATTTGTGTGCTCATATTGTAAAGTAAATTTGATGGTTAACAAGTTATCAACAAATATTCCAAATGGATAGGATTGTACAAACAAGGAAAGATGAGCATCTGCAGGACTTGACGAGTGTAATCGGACATGTATCCGTTTGCTCCTGACAGTCTCTGGTGTTGCTCGGAGTCTGCTTCTCTCATATTTACATTCTCTATCTCACATAACCTTATGGCTTATCTCTATACTTGATGCTCCATGTTTGGACATGTGCCCCCACTATTTGACGTGTGTTATACTTGTCATGTCATTTGGAGTTCATAGATATGTGTAACATTCAGAAGATGATTATCAGATTGACCACAATTGTTTGGGAAATCTAAGTAGACATGAGTATGTCCATAGAGATTGATGACAGTCATACATGGCTTGCACCAGAAGATGCCTGTTGATCGAAAAAACACTCTTACACAGACACACACACACATACTGATCAATTAGAAGACTAGGTCAGTTTCATCTGAACAGCAACCAGCTGGTGAAAGCAGGAAACAGTTCATTTCGAGATGAGTGAAGGCAAGGATATGGAAATAATTGGCAGTTACATACTACTGTGATCAGAAGTCAAATTCTTTAGTATTGTGTTGCAAACACGATATCAGCAAGATAACAAGTTTATCTGAGCAATAACTTTGGTAATAAAGTTTTTGACAGACGGCCGACACTTGGTCGGACAGATGTGATGTCCGAGATGTAATAACTTGTCCAAGAACTCAATTAATAATTTATGTTCTTGACTATATTTGATCATAAAGTTATATTAACATCTCTGCCACTAACATGATGATATGAGGTCGTCTTCATGTATCATCTTGCCGAGACATGGCTTGTTTCAAGATAGAAGTTAACTACTAACCTAGCTAATCGTAAGGTTTCAATCTTGCTCAGCTTCTGATGTTGTGTAGTGAGAGGTACATACTGAAATGTATTACATTAACAAACGAATTTGTTTGTCAACTTCATTACTTGACGAAGGACGTCCAAAGCATTGTTCAATCCGTGCATACGAGCACGTTCACGTCCATTGGCTTTAACACGGCGGATACGCAATTTAACTTTGCTGTTGGCATCACCAGATTCGATAGTTGGAGTCATGATTGAGATGAAGAGGTTGCTGAAAAGCGTTGTTGTAGATGATGTAGCAAAAAGAAGAGAAGAAGAAGAGCATACGAAAGGAGATCACATGTGACTATAGTAGAAACGAAAGTCTTCGAAAAAAAAACTGAAGTCTGATAGAGCCGGAAATCAGACGGCCGCTCAGAAGCGGAGCTGAACCTCATATCTGATCGTCTGCCTGCAGGGTCGTGATGTCCATAACGCCCCGCCTCTCTGAAGTGGAGAGGAGGGGCGAGGGTTACGGTAGCCCAGTGAGGGGTCGAGAGAAGACATGTTCGAATTAATGCGATTGGCAATAAAAGTTATTTTATTTTATATGAATCTCTTAGTATTAGAGGAAACAGCTCAACTAAGTAAATTAGAATATGGATTCCACGTGAACACGGCCACGTGAACCTCATGCGAATAGAATTTCATTTTTGGTTTATTGCACGCGCAGAGCGGTTGTGCTTGGTGCTGTTACTTGCGAGTGAGTGGTAGTGAACGATGGTATTTCATAGTTTTTGCCATATATGAGAAATAGTTAAAACTGTCTGCTATTGGCATAATATAGTTTAGTCTAATGAAAGCCTATGTTGAATGATGGATATGGCAGGAGAGTGAGAGTTGAGTGAGTAGGAATGAAGGGAAGTGGAGAGTGGAAGAGAAAAGAAAGAAGGAGAGATTAATGTTTTCAATGAAGCTCTCCATTTTTGGAGATTTTTATTCATCAATTGACCTGAGTAATTGCTAGTAAGTCATAATGGAGAATAGTTGTAACCTATTGAATAGATGAGTTGAAGTGACTAAGCGTGTTGTTAATTGCAGCTTAGGGATGAGCTATAGTCTGGCAATAGAGAAGTGGATACAAGTGATCATAAAAGGTTTGTAAGACTGTTGTTTAAACTATAGTTTTGATTGTTATGAAGAGGGTTGTTAGTTGTTGCATACAAATGAACTCATGTTAATTGTAAAGAGTAAATCTTCCCTCTTAATCTATAATCATCTCTCTCTATCCTCTCTCTCTCTCTATGTGATCGCTCGCTCTCTCGCTCTCTCTCTATTCATTCTTTCACACATGATGCACTTTAACAAGTGATTCGTTGCTTTACCTCATTGTATTCACATATCTATCACATATGCATAAATCTTCCTCATAGTTGACAACCACCTGTGAGTGTTTCATTCACAAATCTATTCATTTAGATTGCTCATTGCTTCAACCAACTTATTATCGCTTCATCCTCAATATGGTTTAGTCAATCAAATGTGTATCACATTACATCTGCTCATATGCTGCATACCTTATTTGGCTCAACTCATTTTCGCTCATCAACTCATACGACTATCGCCTCTCTAACGACCTCTACTGCATCCACTTAATTAGGGAAAGAGTGTGACAGCTTTTTTAACTTCTACATACTTCTTAAGCTACACCGCTACGGCTCAGTTATTGCTCTATTCATATGCATCTAAGTCTATTGTATCATCTTCTTATTCTTTCCTTTTTTTTCGGACTCGAGAATATCGCTCAAGACACAGACGGTTGGAAAAGGCATGCCGACTATTTGCATTACAATGTGCCATTTCTATAAGGAAGAAGTGGCTAGTCGTTTATGGTTACAATCTCGGCTTACTATCCGTTTGACGTCTTTGCCTTCGACACTTCCTTATATGGCTTGAATGCCTTACTAATCCCGTTTATGTTGACATAAGACTTGTCTGCCGACAGTTCTCTGCGCCATGTTGATCAGAGGATTAGAAGGATATGCGGTAGAAACATCTGGTTCAAAGCAAGAATCTGTAAGATTTAGCTGATTGGATTGACATGGCTAATCTTCTTGCATTCATGATCTACTACTTCATCACAGTCCTCTCAGCTAGTAAGCGTTTAAAGCATTTAGAAATACAGTACAGAGTATGCGTGAATGGGCCATTTGTGAAGAAGGTGTGAAAAGGCTAGTGAAAAACGCTTACAACTTGAAGTGAGTGCTACAGTGGCTTCCCCGGAAGTCTGTATACTTGAAAGCTTCACGTGTCATAAGTTCTTAGCTGAGTTTTCTTATAGAGGCTTGAGTTCTAATGAGCTTTTAAACAGTTTCTGAACGATCTGACCACATGTAGTTGTTCGTTTCATTTTTCTTCTCTTCAAGTCAAACGCAAGTTAGAAACAACCGTGCCCAAGCTTCACTCGGAACTCACCTCGTTATCATGAGGGAAAATCAAATTGCATTTTGTCATTTTCGTCATGACTTATACCCTATGACGCCATTTCCTAATTAGTCATCATGGTGACCTGAGAAGTGGATGACTCGCCTGTCAACTGAGGTAATCCAATATTCTGTTCTATTATTTTCTTGGCGCTCTGTATACCTATTACGCAATTCACATTCACAATACTGTTGGAGCCGCTAATGAGAAGGCACGCCACTTCAGAGGCTAAGTGAGAGACCGGATCAGTTTCAGGACCGTCTTCATAATCCTCTCTGTCTACGCTTCTCCGATATCCAGCAGCTCTTTTGTTTGATCCTTGAGAAGACCGCAAAGACGGCTCTTGCCTTTAAGGTCATGAAGATGAATTATTCTTAGGCTTTATTAGGTTTTTGCTTATTGATAGCCGGAAACAATATGAGAGCTTTCATTATGAGCCAAGCTTAACACAGCCCATCATTTTCATTTCAAATAAATAATATATTCATCAGGTACATGTATCTCATCTCATCTGAACAGTCTGAGCAGTTGGTACTACCGATCATCTGGTAGCAGATGACACTCATTACTTCCACTTTATGTTCAGCATCCTAATTACTTTCACTATTTTCATAAGCTTTCCTTACATTATATTTTGGACTAATTGAAACATGTTGTGTTGATGCGGGTTGTGAAAGCTTTCAAAACAACAAGACGTCTTTCCGGCTTACGGTTCGAAAAACGCATTACTTTGATCTCGTCCGGTGTGAGCTTGCTCTTTTTCCCAGAATCCAGCAGTCGCCTGACAGGCTTTTCTTAATGTGGCTCATCAATTCATAAACCAATATGGTCTTCAATCACCGTGATTTCACGCCTCCACGGGGTTCCGCTTTTATGTGACCGCATGCCAAGCCATTTTAGGCAGCGGGTCTTGCCTCCATTCTATCAAACCGTTAGCGGGAGGTAGTAGACAGAAGAGAGACGTGATTAGCATAATGAGATTTTTGGTCCGTCATTGACCATTTGAAAGAGGCTTTTAGACAGTTAACTGCTTGACGGATTGACAGCAATAATGACGAGAATCAAAGCAATTGACGGCTGTTTTTGAGAAAAGAAACAAGAAGCCGATGTCATACTCAATCCTTGTTTCATAATTGACCAAATAAGTACCTGCATTTATTTTTTTTGCATCAGCTCTCTCGTTTCATGCCTGCATGACTCTCATCAAGACAGTGTTTGATGTCGACTGTCATATCTCCATCACATATTTCATTTTCCTACTTACATTTCTCCTACAAAATATGTGAAACGATTACAGTTTCAATTCCAAGAACGATTGTCAACCTCTTCTCGTTATGCAACACTTAAACACATATAGAATGACCTAACTACACAGTCGCAATTATGGAACGCTGTTTTTAATGTCAGACGTGACAACGAAAATACGTACACACGCTATATTACCTTGTAAGGGTTGCATTGATCCTTACAAATTCAAATAAACTGTTACAGTTCATTTGAACATTTTCATTTTTGATTTATCTATCACGAAGAAACAGTAAGGTCGTGCTTACTTGTTTTCATGTTGCACGCGGCTTTCGTGTTGACCGATTGTTCACGCGTTTTCATTCTTTTTCATTTCGGAATTTGTTGCCGGGTCGTGCTTGTACAAACCGGTGATGTTTTCATCTTCAATGTAACTAGTATGCTGAGCAGTAGTGCACGTGTTCATTCTCTATGTCATATGCATCTTGAACCACGCTTACATGGCATGTAAGCGATGAAACAAGGCACCCATTGCTACAGCTCCCAGATCCTTCTGATTTTGAAAGTAACTGTTC